GTTGCATGCCTGATTGACATACTTTACATGCCATAGATATTCATGACATTTTGCAGCGGCGCCTTTAAAAAAAATACTTTGTACAGATGTGACATTTAATTAGTGGTTTTTGGTTTTAACGCTATATGACTTTGAACGTGAGAAAATTTTAATTAACGCTATTTTAACAATTTTACCTTCCAGATTACTTATACAGCAGAATCAATATTTTAAATTCAAAATGGAAAGTTTTGATATAACATTGTTCAATATTACATTGTATTATTAAAAAAAACTATAAAACACTTTTCAAAATTTCTAAGATTTTCTGCTCTGAAAAAATGCAAAAATATAAAAAAATGTGGCATAAAAATAATGGCGCCTTAACATCGATTTTAAAGGAGACATTTTATTTACAAAGACGATATTGATGATCTGCAATAATAATACATATTGCAGAATAAGTAGGCCACAACTTTATGTAAATTTTATTTTTCTTCATTTTTAACACTCTTATGCTGATATCGCTTCAATAGTGATTCATTTTTAATCGAAATTAAAAATCACTTGAATGTATTTAAAACAGACGATTCAATTATCACGATACTTGAAAAGAGCAAGGTTATCTCACAAACAACCACGTATACGTTCCGATAAAATGAAAAAGCCAATACTTAGCTATTAAAATTCGGAAATAAAAATCTGTTATTCTTTGGTAGTTAATTTAATCACCATGTGTTGATATTATTACAGTAAAGCATTCGAAAAAATCAACCTATAAGCTTCAATTTATGTTGTTAATAAAGAAAACAAACTTCCAGCCCTTTTTATTGTTCTACGATTTTTGAATGAATCATAATCACACATTCAATAGTGGGTAAATGATAAATTTATCTTTCATAATTCCTAATTTTATTATTAAAAAATGTGTGAGATTTATACCAGACAAGGCCAGTGTAAATAAACGAATAAATTTTTATTGAATTCCAGTGAAGTAACATCTTGACGAATGGAAGACGATAAATATTCGAGAGATAATTTTTCAATTGTTTAAGACTCTCTTTTTCGCGTGACTCGTACCTGACGTAAAAAGCGATACGAAGATTTATCCTGACCTTTAAGCTATTTAATAATATGTACACATCTAAAAAGAGTAAACGACTATCATATTGTATTGTTGGATTTGGTTGTCCCTTTTTCTCGGTAACAATGACCATTGGATTACGATATATTACCACCCACTAGCACGGAACGCCCACATTGTCTATGAAGATTTTTATAGGTAAAATGAGAAAATAGTTATTAAGTATAATATACAGTTTAAAATCTGGTCATACTATCCGATATCATTAGTAACGGCGTCGATATGAATTCATACTAATAGTATACTAATAATTGCTCGAGGATATTTCACTTTTTAGTTGTGTTCTCAACATTTTCTACCTCTGTGATGTGTACAAGTCTGACATTTTTCGAAGCAATTTAGTCCATTGAAGAAGATAAGCAAAATAATAATAGATAGTTTTATCTAAATATAAGAATCTATTTTAAAATGACACTATAGTGAAATTTCTTTTTTTTGCTCCCGCAAAGTACTGAACGTTTTATGAAGAGAAATATCTAAGAATATCACCAGCCTCTAATCTTTAGAAACTACAATACATTTTCATAAAAGAGAATTATTTTTTAGTACTTCTTTTACATTATACAATCTACTGAAAATTAAAAGTCGATGGTCTACTTTTCTACATATTGCGTGAGGCTTTGAAACGCGAGAGAGCATTTTGCCTTCCTGATGTTACTGACGCTTGCAGCGTAAATTTGAAACTTGTGCAAGTTTTTATCGTTAGCAAAGTTACCAATTTAGCAGTTTTATCTAGTGAGTATACCAGAACTGGAAAAACATATAGTACTATCGATGAGAAAACTTGGATATTAGCATTTTACTAGATCGCGTCAAATAGGAAAAAGATATAAGGAAAATTTTATCCGTACGTTTATAGAGTAGCTACTGGATTGATATTGCTTTGAAATTTAATTGTGGAATTTTCAATAAACAAGTTTGTATAAGAATACATTACTATTTTGTGTCATAAAATCGGACAACTCTGACAATTTGGCAAGGAGTGATTGGTACGTTAGTAACAAACATTTATAATTAAAAAAAGGACTCTCAACAGAAAGTAAAACAAAGAGGTATGAATATTAGATGATGTTTCGATCGATTTTTTCGTGCCTTTTAATTATATATATCAAGATAAATATCGAGTCCGAAGGTAGCGGCAAGGATTTTTCTCTGGTGCTCGGTGGCAGTCGGCATGTATAAGGCATGGCCAATAAACCGGTATCGCGTGTTCCCATGGGTCAACTTTTTAACGAAAGTTGCCATACTATACTGCAGAAACTTTCGATTCGCGTAGGATTGTTCTTTCTCTTTCCCTGCTGGGACGGGGCGCGTGTAGTGCGCGCGAGTAACGGCGAAAGCAATGCAGCAGCACACGGGTTTTTTAAAACCGGTAATTTTGTTTGCTGTCATGCCGGAAAAGGTGGCTGAGATGCGTCGCCGCCGCCACCGCCGTCGCTGCTCTTTGCTTCGGGCACTTATTATGAATTGAATAATAATGCAGTTTAGGCTGCTGGCACTCGTTTCCAATCGGCTATTACGGATGAATTTTTCAATTACAACTGTTGATAAATTATTGTGAATATTTTCATTGGGATGTAATTCATTAAAGCGAAATTTATGTGTCGAAGAACTCCGTAGGAGGTATATCATTCACATGCTTAATTAACGACTTCTTAAAATCCAATAAACTTGAAAATTTAAAGTAGGGTCAGTGAACTGGTGAGTCGGTCAAGGTTGAGACAAAAAACAATTTTAATATTCGTATGCGTATATAAATGTAGGAAGTAGAATCATTTCTCAACTAGACTAGAAAATCACAGTTTGTAAACAGTGAATTTTTCAGATTTAAATGAACTGGCATGTTTTTTTGTTTTTAAAAGTTCATTTTCTAATCTTGCAGTTGTTCAAGTTGGTTTAAAGACATCTTACTTCTGATTTTTATAATTTATCGAACAGTTAATGAATAATAATCGATTTTTTACATGTCGATAAACGTTATATCAACCAAGAGTAAGGCACAATTTTAAGAATCCAATTTTCGAAATAAGTGGAATAATCGATAAATTGACTTGTTCTGGAGGAAAAATTAACTCGCAGACATTCATTCAATCCAAAGGCGTCTCGAAGATTAGAGACTAGAGCAAAAAGTGCTTTTCACTGGGACCGCTCGGCTTTCTATATAATACGTTCGTCAAGCGCACAGCCGCACACGCTTTAGCGCGAACTTGGCTTTGTGCACAGCAGGCCGCATGAGACGTCGCCTGTCCTACTGCACTGTGTATATATAGATGTGTATACAACATAGTCATGGCAACAATTGGCGCAGCAACAGGTGCACAGCGGCTGCTCCGATGGTCCGATGTGCGTCTGTGCGATTTGTCTAAAATAAGCCGAGCTGCGCGTCTCCAGCTAGCCGAAAATAAGGGAACTCTAAATACGTAAGTCGGTCTTGGTGTAGCGACAGGCGGCCCAGCTTCTAAGGCTCCGGCGTTATTTCGTGCACCGCGACGAGCTCGGCACAATTTGCAAGCACCGATGGCGTTCCCGATGGAAAATTTTTATTCCCCTCGACTCCTATGTATTTTATTTTCCGTCTTACGATGCGTTCTTTTCAATTATGGTAACATATCCAATTTCAAAAATATTGAGATACGTATAATAAGGATGTTTATGCTTTCGGCCGCGAAGGCGTAAGCTTAAATCAACATTATGTGCTCATGCATAAGCACGCATGCTCTCTCGACTTGAGCATGTTTGAACAACAATTTGAAGCTTATTTAATCGTCCAACACGTTTGTATCTTTTCGGTGCGTGAGTAAATTTGAAACTGGATGTCGAGCGATATCCAGTGATAAGTCTTTGCTTCGAAGCCTTGAAGTGTGTGAGTCAAAATTACGATTTTCGAGGAACGTCACTTCCTTTATTTAACGCATGGGCTTTGGCCTTTTGAGCGAGACCAAACAATTATCAGCGCGTAGATTGTCTTGTTGGCAATCGAAGATAAGTTCTCAAGTATTCAACTTCTTCAATTTATAATAAAATTTTGTGAAAAGTAAGCCGCAAGGCTTTCCAACAACTCAAGACAACTCTGACGATGTGTGTAAAATTATGAGTAATACTTTTGTTCGATTTACGGTGCGTCTTCGACACTCATCCTTGGTACATATGCATAACGTCGAAACTTGAGTTTCGTTTTTTTTTTCGTTATGTATAAACAACTCGATACATCGACGCGGCTGCAAGTCGGGACCATTGTTAAAAAGTAGCTTACAAAGTTGAAACTAAGCATACGTTCGACTAGCAAAAACTATCGGTATAAAGAAGAAGCGACCATTGAAGGTCGCAACTGATTATGTTAAACAACAGGGACAAGTTAACGACTAAGTATTTGCGTCTACGGAAAATTAGACGATTTGATTTTCTTTTGGTAGTTAGAATAGAAGAGCATAAGGGCTAATGCTGTAGATGCAGAGCAGCCTGGACAACAAGCGAATATTAGTTGTATCAGTACGAAGAGGACAAACCAAAGGAAAAGTTCGGGATGTTGGACAAAAACAATTAGACTTAAATACATGGTCTATTGATGAAAAATCTAAAATAATGCGAGAAAAATTTTAAACGAATTGGACACGAATGGGATGCGTACAATAAGGTTGATCATTAGAATTGCGAGTGCTATCGACTATGTATACCGTGGAAGTCAAGATCTGACAGTCTGAGAGAAAACAAGAGAAGGATGGGATGTGCGTAGGAGTCGAACGAGGCCTGTCGTTGAGCGTTGCACCGCTTCGAGTCGAGATACCGATATTTTAGCGATATTAGCCGAGATATTAGCATGGAGAAAATAAGAGATATGGGTGGGACGCGTCCGAAAGACGGGCGCAATGATTTTTACCTTGATAATGAGCTCGATCTCGGGGACGTCTCCGTTGCTCGTGCCGTTCTCGTGACCGTCGTCCGCCATTCTTGCCTGTCGGAAATTCTAAGCGACGCTTATTATTCTCTCTTTCTTTCTTTCTCTCCGTTTCTCGGCACACTGGCACACAAGCGTTGCACTGGGGGGCACACAGAGCTCTCGAGGAGGTTATGAGCCGACAACAACTGGCTTCTTTCGTGAAAATACAATATGCACGAATCACGAGATCAGTCGAGTGACTCGACGAGAACTCGCGAATTCGCGTAGGCGTTATTACTGCGAACTATTAAGGCGTAACCGCGCGGCGCTCCGAAATCGAAATCTCGGCCCGACACAGAGAGATCAACTGCTGCTACTGCTGCTATCTCGCACAACACACTGACGACAACGACTACTCGACTGCGGCGCGATCTCGGGAGACGGCAAAAAGAAACAGACACACACGGAGCGATGTCTATGTATGTATAGGAGTATACACACTCTTACTGGAGAGGCAGTTTCGCTGCGCCGCGTATGTTATATTTCACGAGCGCTCCTACAACATGTATTGTATGACGTCGTCGTTCGTTCGACGCTCGAATCCTACTCGACTCGCAGTTCTTGGCGTCGGCGATATAAGCGCGCACGATGCAGCCCGGTACACACGTACGCACGGACACACACACGCATACGTTTATACAGTCACTGGAGGCACCGCTGCAGCTTAGTCACTCGCCGCCGCGCGCTGCTCCCACTTTGCAATTTTTGCCGCAAAATGCCTTCTCTCTATCGCGATCCACGCTTAGCTTACGTACTATTCTGGCAGACCGCAGCTGCTGTGTACCCTATAAGGGTGCCTTGCCTGCAGTAATTCGACGTCTGAACGTCTTTGCAAAACTGTGGCCGCGCCGCAGTCGATGCATTTGGCGCGAGAGCTCGATTTTCCAGCTGCATACAGAGAGCTACATGCACCGCGCGCGGCACCTATAATTTGCGTATGCGTTTGTACAGCCACATGTGTACAATCATCGGCGCAATGCGCTCGTACCTAATATGAGATCGACATCGGTTGAATCCCAAAGTCTGCACGCAAACTTTATAGAAACCGATTGACTCCAAGATTGTTCATTTACCCTTTTAACTGTTTGATAAAAAAATTGCTGATTCAGTAGAAATTTCACCTTACAGCATATTGTTTTCAAAAGTAAAAATGCTCGATAGGTATGAACAAAAAATTAGTACAAATTTTAGCATTTTTCCCATAAATTTTCCAATCGGGCTAATTTCAAAATTATATTTTTTAGTAGGCTTCACTATGCTTTTTCAAAATCACTCATCACTCATCATCCATTATCATTAAAATGCAATGTGGATATTGGCTAAAGGATCGTGCAGATGATATAACAAATTGTCGTAGTCATAGCAATGTATCCTAACAAGTGGCTCTCTTCATTGAACCTTGACTAGAAATGTTTTCAAGTTTATCATTCAACACCAAATATATCGATTGAGTTTCCCCATCTCTTTTTGATTAAAATGGAAAACGAAGGAACCAACGATGCACTCGATGCAGCAAAAAGTTTGGATTTACTTGACAAAATGAAAGGTATCGACAGACGTGCTACAGAGGAAGAATTCCAAAACTTTATGCATCGTGTCACTGAAGTAGGTACGGCTTGCTTCATAATTTGTACACTAAGTCAGTGGTAATTCTGTCCGAGGAAATTTCCTATGCTTTAATAAACATTCCACCCCTCTGTTGAACCGGACAAAATTAAAAGCGCTCACCTAGTGTACAAATGTTTTCAATTTTTTTACTTAAATTGCACTCAAAGCGCGCCGATCGAGTCTAAGTCGATGTTGATTTTCAGAAAAAATTGTAAAACAAATTACTTCGTCGGATGAGCAAGAGCAGAAAACGGGTATGTTATTAGCCGACGAAATCTTGAATAAAAATGTCAAGACTGAAATCTCTGAGATTGGTGAGCTAAAAGTGAAATCTAGCAGAACTATCATTAATAAATACAAAGAAGAAAAAAAAACTGATCCCGGTCAAATGTCTCAAGGTGTGTTATACTTTTAACGGCATAGATTACAAAATTACAAAAATAATTAATCTGTTTTGCATTCAGAAGCTTTTATGCGAGGTGTCGAGGAAGATGTGAAAAAGCGCGCCGCGAATCGCAAAATTTGCAACGAAAGAGCTGAAACTTATAAAAGAATCGGCAACAGTGCCTTCAAAGATGGAAATTATGAAAAAGCCGTAACATATTTCACAAAAGCAGTAGAACAGCGCAAAGATTCTTCCGTCTTGTGGAATAATCGAGCTTTATGCTACATGAAACTCAAGCTTTACGAAAAAGCTTTGGAAGATTGCGAATGGGCTCTCAAGTGCAATCGAGCCAACATTAAAGCTCTTCTCAACAGCGCCAAATGTCAAAAGCTTCTGGGTGATAACGTCAAGTGTCAAGAGTTCATCGAGCTTGCTAGAGAGAAAAATCCGCATCTTAAAAATTACATCGCAGGTAAAATTTCTTTACTTTTAATCAAGACTTTCAATTTATATTACATAATCATACTGAGCTATTACAGATTTTGAAAAAAATTTAGTACATTCTAGTGAAGAAAATATTGGAACTGGGTCAGGAGAAAATTCGATTGACTAAAAGCTTTTCATAAGCAAATGTATAACATTTAATAAAGATTCTGAAATACTGAACTTCAGCAAAATAAATAAAATATATGTACAAAACCAATGTATTTACAAATGAGTACATTACACATTGAACATTAGCTGCTCAAATAAAGTACTAAAATGATGTCAAGATGATTCCGGATCCAGTGGCGAGAGCTCTTTAATTTCAGATAATGATCGTGGCTCATGAATGAATACCATACATTCAACACCCTGAAACATTTTTTGAGTGCATTTATTTCAGCACGATCTTTAAAATCAAAATAATGTTCAATACATGAGGTTTCATACCTGCATTCTAGCTGCTCTAACGAAACCTTCATTTGCAGAAACTGTAATACTCTTAAAGTTTTCTCCAGTAGCAAAAACTAATCTGGATCGTTCCTTGATTTTACCACCAAGACTAAGTTCCATAACTCTTCCTTGTGGAATATCATTTACAATTTTTACTGTGTTTATTAGTTCGTTTGCACGTTTTTTTTCATTTTCTCCACCAATTAAATTGATGATATTTGTAAAGTTATCATAAGCAGTTTGACACACAATTAGTTCCTTGTCTTGAAATAATTGATCAAGTACAGGTTTTAATGGACTACTTCTTTCCCACATAGCTTGCTGATTAAGTAATGGTTCTACATACAAAAAGTTAGCATGGCCATTAGTCATATTGGTAACATATGCTAGTAACGTTGATACATCTAGATTCAATATTCCAATACTTTTGGTTTCAATACTTTTATTTAACTCTAATAAATCGCATAGATTACTATTTGATGATGATTCAGATTGAGAATCAGATTCTGAGTACAGGGCATCATCTGTAAATAATACTATATTTAAATGAAGTAACAAAACTTTTTTATAAAATCTTAAAAGTATATAAATACCAGATGCAACATCGTCTTCTGCAAGAGCATCAATTTTTTTCCCTTCAACGATAATATTTAATGAATTTTCCAATTTTTGAGCTAATGGAATTTCTATACCACATGCAAAATAAAAAATTATATCTGGTGGCTTATACATATGTGGATAATTTTTAGCACACTTTAAATATGCTTCAGCTTGATCTAACACAGATTTTTGCCCGTATTCAGCATTTCCACAAGAAATTAACGTAAGAGCTTTGGCATTGCGAGCTATAACTTTTACCCAACTTGAACCACCATTGCATACAATGTCAACTTCTAATCTTGAGTTCTCATTTTTGAATGGTTTCAATACACTTACTGGTTCATTAGCAGATAACAAGCGTTCCACTATTGCATTTAAATGTATCAAATTGGTACTCTGTAGGTGTTCTTTTTTGACATTTCCTGTAGAACGTACCTTATTAAAATGTAAAAAAGGTATAAATCACTGTACTTTTGTAAATGGTGATAAATATTTATCGATGGCATACCTTTTTTAAAAATTTCACTTCTTGTTGTATTTTTCGTATCAACTTATCAATTCCTTCAACTTTATTTACTTGTTTTAATTTTTCAATCATTTGCCAACCCCATTCAATTTTCTCGTCAAAACATTTCAGCAATTCCTGTGTTTCCATTTTGATTTTGTGTATTTGTTGTAAATTTGAGAATATTAACAAACGCTCTCACAATCAGCCTATATTAAATTGAAAAAAAAAGTTAAAATACATCGAAGCAACGATCCATTTCCATATAACGAAACTTGTTTACCATTATAGTTTACTTATTGCTAAGCAGATGGCGATAGGCGTCAGCAAGTAAGTGTGCACTCAGATGCGCTTCTAAAATGTTCAACGATCGAATACTGTTTTGGAACTGTTATTTTAAAGACGAATTAATTTTAATTTGTCTAATCTCTATCAAATACTGATTGAATTACATAAAAAATTATAAAAAGAAGCATCTTGTTGAAATAACAATAATCGGATTGGAAATCTAACGCATAAATTCGAAGAGCGATGCATCAGCACAGTCGCGAAGTTTAAATATTCGATCGCTGCAACAATAACGGACGCAACGTGAAAATCCATCGAAACAGTTAAACCGAAACCAGAAGTAGTCGTAAGAAGTATGATTTTTTGCTTTGCAAGCTTGTCATAACTAGATTGTATTAATTACACGGTGGTGATTATTCAGGATAAAAGTAAAAATAGTTCGAAAATATATCATTTTGTAAGCAGCATCGATAAAAAGTTTAGAGAAAAAACCAAAGTAGATAAGTCCAACTAAGGTTGGATACTCGAAAGCTTATAAACAATGGACAGAATGAATGTTTTTAATAATCCAACATTCCAAGCAATCCAGACAATTTTGACTCAAAAAGTGGATCAAATAACTGGAAGTGAAATGAAAAAAGTTGAATTACAAAGGGTAATTATGAACAATTTTTTTCTAGTAAAGACCTTATAAAATCGAGCATTAGCAGTAAATCATGACATTTTAATCAGATGAACGATGACCTTACCATCAAAGTATTGAAAAGAGAATATCTCGAGACAAAGCGGACTGTCATAACTTCTAAAAAAAAGTTGGACGAAGCTCATCAACAAGCATCCAGTCGAACGGAGATCATCAATCAGCTTGAACAAGCGAGAACTGCCATTACAGCAAAGTGAAAAATTATCGATATATCTTATGCAATGCTATCCCCGATTTTTTAATATATTTTAATATTTATTTAATTTTATAGATTCGGTGAGCTACAGAGATTTCAGTACGAAACTTTACTGACCAATTTGAATAATAGTGAAAATCGATTGGTAAATTGCAAATCTAAAAACTCGGAACTATCTAATGTTTTACAAATTATATTTGGAAATGAAAGAACTAAAAAGATTATGAAAGAACAAATCCAGATAGAAAAATTAAATTTGGACCGTGAAAGTGAGTTTATTTTATTATAGCGGGTTGTCAAAAGTTATGAAGTACATATTCTTTGATAAACATATCTAACGTTTTTAAAATTTTACAAAAAGATAAAATTCCGTTACTTGCGTAGAAAAGTTTGTAAATGAAATAGTTTTTACGTCATGTTAAACTTTTATTTGAATTTAATCATAGTTTCCAAACAAATTGAAACAAGAGAAGAAGATTTTCAAAAATTATCGAAAACCTTATTTCAACTCCAAAATCAATTAAATAGTTTGAAAGATTTAATACTCAAAAACGACGTTTTGGGAAATCTGAACGAGCAGTTGGATAAGAAAAATTTTAGGTAAATCTATTCATGGATTTTCATTAAATTTAAAATAAAACTAAGCAATTAACACTTTCTTTCAGACTAATGACTCTAGAAACGGATTATGAAACAATTTTGAAAAATTATGAAAACATAATTAATGCTTTTCAAAAAGAAAATGAAAATTACCATATTGTACGTTTATCTTTATAAAAATATGAAACAAATTTTATAAAAAAATTTCGATATTTTCTAGGACTTGCAAAAAAATGAATCGATATTTATTCAAAATGAAACAGCCCGCGAAAAGTTACTAAAAGAGAATGAACTGAAAGAGTTGAGTATTTTATTTTTTACATGTTCTTTATTTCAATCCGATTGCAAATAATTGTCATTCTTATTCAGGAAAAATGTAGTGCAATTACGGGAATCTGTAAAAAAACTTCAGGTTAAAAAAGATGAAGTATTACAAAATGTAAGTAAATTATAAAATCAAAAAATAATGGTTACTTATATACTTTTAACGGCTTTAAATAAAAATGACATTAGATATCGAAAAAACAACAAATTGACAAAAAATCAAAAGAATCCTATGAAGAGGCTGTAAAATATATTACTGATCAACAAAACCAAGTGAATCAAGAACTTGTCACTTTGGAAAATAATTTTACGAAGACCGAAGACGATTTACATCGTGAACTGAATCAATATCATTTAAAGAATGAAGAACAAAAAAAACTTGTTGAACGATACGAAAATGAAAAAGAAGCCTTGAATAAACTCAAAGTTTCATTAAAAAGTAAAGAAAAAGAATCGGCCGTATTTGAAAAAGAACTACAAGATAAGCTCAAAAAGTGTGCTGATTTGCTGAAAAAGCAAGAGAAAGAATTATTAAATTTGAGCGGAAAACAACAAAAAATAGACATTAAAGTTCAAGATTTACAAAGTGAACGAGATGCTTTGAAAGAAAAATTAGTTTCCAAAAATAACGATGAAGAGGCGAAGATTAAAATGGTATAGTTAGATTCACTGTTTTAAACTTTTATATAATATAATTTTTTTTATTTTTATAGAGAAATCATCTTGTTAGTCCTTTAAAGAAGCAATACTATTCGTGGGAAAATATGAGTAAAAATAACAGCTCTACAAATAAATCTTTGCCGTCTCCAAAGCCAGTGAGGATCTTTTTTTTTTTATAAATTGAGTAAATGAATAAATTAAATTATAATAGAATATTTTAATTTCAAATTTAAGAAATCTCAGCTATCCTCGAGTCAAAAAGCTAAAACTGTTCATTTTGCATTGGATGCCGATTCGTCAGATTCTGAAGACGATCTTCTAATTGACAAGCTTATGCGTAAAAATGTACTGTTAGCGATAACTTTCTACCATCTAAAACTCATATTATTTAGTACTGATTTATTGTATTATTTTTCAGAGCTCAACATACACTCCCAATAAAAGTTCCTCGCGGGAAACTCGTAGCTACTATAGAGAATCTGTACGTAAAAAATAATGATCTTAATAAAAAACCTTCTTTTATCATTCCATAAAAGTCAATAATTACTTGTATGATTATAGACTGTGCCATCATCGAATGGAAAGCTTGCCGAAACGACATCACAAAAATCTCCTTTTAATCATACGAGCGATACGGTAACTTTTCATCATATTGTGACATTTCAAAAAATGTAATTACAAAACTATTTTCTAACTTAGAAAATTTAATTGTTTTACAGAGTTTATTCAAAATTCCTTACGCTTACGCAACACCAATCAGAAAAAAACCGCAAGTTAAAAAACATTAAAGGAAATATTACAATTATGTGTTTACTGTAAAATGATTGAATTTTTTTGGAGTAATTCAAATTCAGTGTCTCTAGATAATTAAAATCAACAATTCTGTATTTATTTTATAATTAATTATTTTCAATCTAATAATTTTAACAAGTTCTTAATTATTAAAGTTATAAAAGTTTTTTTGCGGGCAAAAAAGTTGGTACTAGTGTTATATTCTGGTTGCTGCCTGGCGTCTGCTGCGATTATTTCTATTTGGCATTTGATTGCGTGAGTGCAACACAGGTTACTTCGTTTATAAGTTAATATTTAATACTCATTTTAAGTGAGTATATTTGAATTTAATCTAATTAATTTATCATTATCGAAAAATTTAATCTATTGATGAAATGTATAATTTTTATGCCCATTCATTTGTCTCTGCAATTCCAAATTCATTCAAAGTTTGGTTTAATGTAAAGAGTGTTGATTAATTAAAAATGTGTAATCTTTGAAATAAATATTTCTTTGAATCAAATTGATACCAATTAATAAATGATAACCTGAACCTGATTAAATTCTAACTGTTTTGTGTAGATTATTTAAAATTCCAATTTTAAAATTGCACAAGTACAATCACATTTTTAAACTAATATTTTTTAGAAAAATGAAGGTGCCACCAAAGTTCACACCACAGAAGCCCCACAGAATGGCTATAATTGCAACTAGTTCAGCAATTGCTCTATCAATGGGATCTTTTCTCATTGAGTTCCTGCCTCATTCATTTTTCTTGGACAAATATAAAAATTTAATACATTTAGAAAGGTATTTTTTTAAGTGAGATTAAAAAAAAAATTAATTGTCTCTTCAATTTAATAATTTTTTTAATATTTTCCAAGACTTGGAATTCCTGTTCAGCTAGATACAAAAATTGTAAATCTTTTTGATAAAGTCATGGAAGATTTAAAAGTGTCTGAACATCTAAAAAAGAAATTTGAAGCATTCGCAATAACAGGATTTAATCTACATCATGCTGGATTTCCTGATAGTAGATTTGGTGCAATAGTTGGAATACCTAATCATTTTACTTATCAAGAGAAAAGTGATGTAGATTATGTAGATATTCGTTTAGGCTATGACCGAAAACCTTTAAACTTATATCATCCAGCAACAGAAAATTTGATCAATTCCCTGGTACTGTCAGAAAAGGCTAAAAAATTTGGGATTGCTAGGGAAGTTTTAATGTCTCAAAAACAATTACCATTGTACAAATCTCTAGAATCGCCAGCAGTAATTACGCTATCAGTGCTTGGTGCGGAATTATTAAGAACAAAAATGAAATTGCACAACAAACCTTGGACATTTACAATTTTAACTTACCTTGCCACAAGTACAGTAGCATATGCTGTATGGTTTCAAATAAGAGACAGTCTCAAAACTTATTATGAAAAAAGTGTTGATGAGCAGCTTGCAAAATTAGGAAAAGAATATATTGAAGGTGGAAAAGAATTTTATGATAAGTTAATATCACGCAACATTGCATTAAGAGCTTTACTAGGTCCTCAAGGAGCAAAAACATTCAATAGAGATGGAGATGAGCAATTCCTAATTCGAGTTAAGACAGTTCCATTATCTCAAAGAAAAAAATTCTTTTATGAATTTAAAGAAGAAAATGAATCGTAATAAGTTGTACAGTTACCAAGCAGTTGTTGACAGGAATTAATAATAATTTGATTGATTGTAAAATTTAATTTACTTGTACATAAAGTCATTTTTAAATAAAATTTAATAATTACACTATTATTTACAATGGTATTTCATATTTGCCATCAAAATTTGAATAAATATTAACATAAGTTGATGGAATGCTTTCATAATCTTTTGTTTTTTTACATATGTTCCACTTTTTACCTTCTAAGGTGTAACATTTTTGTTTTGAAAAATTGTAAAAACAGACCAAGAACTTTTAACTGTTTCTTATTAAATATTCAAAAACCTTTATAAACATTTTACACAAATAATTTCTAACATATTCTCAGATAAACTTTAAGCATCAAAATAGAGTTATGCAAACTCAGTAAAGTCATAGGGATATTTTACATTACAAAAATCATGAAAAATCTTTAAAAAGCTCTTGACTTATAAAATAAAAAACATAACAGCTGAACTCAGCAAGTAACCATCTTATTAAAATGCATTAAAAACAGTTAACTTTTTCAACTGTTAACATCTGTGCTTTTAATAAATACAGAATGGTAAGGTATGTTATGTCAAACCCAATTGCCCCAACTGAAAAAAAATATAATTTGAAAAAATGATGAATGATAGAGGTGGTAACAGTAATGAATTAATTTTTTTAACGTACCAATGTTAATTTATCTTCTTCTTTTTTTAAAATTTTGTTTGTTTGATCTTGATCAAATTTTACAACAGCAGCTATAACTTTGGCTAGTACCATTGTTTCTTTGCCCATCATATATTTATATAAAATGTTTCTCAAATATTCAATTTCTGTTGAATCTTCTACAGAGTCTTGTTTCATTTTAACTATTTTTCTAAGTTCAGCCAATTCTCTTTTTTGAGATATTAAAGTTTGCTGTAAAGTGTGGAATGATCCAGTATTAGATTGTACAGCTGCCATTGCAACCTTAGTTGTATTTTCCAGTTCCTATATAAAATAGAATAAGATCTTTAAATATATTTGAAAGAGACTTCTTGATTTTTATATTGCGAATTCATTTGTATGGATGAATCATAAAAAGTCGTGCAACGGAAAGATGAATAAATGGAAAATACTCCCGGAGTAAAAAATAATTACCTCATCAGTACTATCATTACTCTGGAAAAATGGACAAAAGAAAAAGTAATGAAAATGAATAATGAAAAAACATAAAATGAAAAACACATAACAATGAGTTGGTCATACTTTTTTCTCGTTTTGCCAGTCATCATTTAGTTTGGATATTTCTTCCTCATGTTTAACTTTAAGTTGATGAGCTTTCTGAAGTATTGCTTTATTCATTTGTACTTCAACATCTTGTAATTGTTTTTCATGGTCTATTGTCATTTTATCTATTTGTTTTAAATATTTTTCAATTTCTTGGGATTTTTTCGTTAATTCTACTTGAAAGTCCTTAAGTTGTTCTTTATATTCTAGTATAATTTCTGATTCATAATTTTGTTGTTGATCTGAAAACACACATTAAAATAACATTTAAATTATTTGAACACTATAAAAACTAGCTAAAACTAGCACTAGCAATTGTTGTAAAAATTATTTTTTACCAAATCTTTTTTCAAGTGCAGCTTGTAATTCCTGTTCTTTGTCCTGAAGTTGTGATTGAAATTCTTTAACCATTTGTTTAAGCCGTAAATTATTTTCTTCTTCACTCAATTTTATTTGTTCACGCATTTGATTTGCTTGACTTTTTAATTCATCATTTAAAGTTTCCATTTGCGATTGTTTGACTTGAAACGTAACTAGCGTTTCATCCAACTGGGATTCTAACTTCGTTTTTTCCAATTTCATAAGTTCTAGATTTTGAGCATATTTCTCATTTTGTGATTTACATTCAGTAAGGTTTTTCATTTCGAGTTTTAATTGAGAACATGATTCACTAAGTTTTTCAATTTCCAATTGTTTATTTTCTATAGTTGCATTCAAATGTTTCAACTCTTCTTTCAATGTTTCAATACTTTTATCTTTTGTTTCCTCCGTGCATAATTTTTGAGATCTAAGTTCATCAATTTCTTTTAATAATTCAGAATTCTTCTCTTCTATTTCTTTTAATTTTTCATCTTTGTCTTTCAAGCTTACTGATTTTTCATTGGATATGTCTAAAATTTTTTCTTTTAAATTTTCAATTTGACCATTTAATTCGGTTTGACTTTGATTCAACATGGTATTTAAATCATTTAATTTCGCTTCATTATCTTTTAAATTTTTATTTTCATTGCTTAATAATTCATTCAATGATTGAAGTTTATTTAATTCTTCAATACAAGCTAATCTATCATCTTTTAAAGTATTAAGTTCATTATTTTTCATTTCCAATTGATTTATTTTTTTTTTTAATTCTTCATTATCATTTGTCAAAAGGTCAATTTCATTTAATTTTTTTTCTAATGATTGATTGATTTCTTCCTCTTTTGATCTAAATTTTATCATTTCTGTTTCAATTTTTTGAATCATGACTATTTTTTCAGCAATAGTATCTTTTAATTTTTTTTCAGAAATAAGTAGTTTATCATTTTTTCCCTTCAACTCATTCAAATTTTCATTCAATTGTTTAATTTTTTGATTATTTTCTTCATGTAATTTCTTATAATTTTCACACTCAACTTGTACTTTTGATGTTTGTTTTTTTTCTTCCACAAGTTCAATTTTATTATTTTCGAATTCTCTCGTAATGGTTTCTAGTTCACAATTGAGAGATTCTATTTTTTTTATAAAATTGTTTTGTTCATTGCTTGCAGATTTTAATGTTTCAACTAGATGAAGAGTGTCATTATATTTTCGTGATAAATCATTTAATTCTAAACTTAAATCTTCTTTAGCTTGAATATGAACTTTCAATTCATTTTGTAATATTTTATTATCATTCTGAGTAATTAAATGATTATTCAGTTGATTTTTCAAATCTTTCAATTCATCATTTTTCAAATTCAGTTCTTTTTCTAATTCTAATTTAACATTTAGAATTTTTTCCAATTGTTCATTACTATCATTATAATTAGTTTGCAATTCTTCTGCTATCTTTAATTTTTCTACCAGTTGATTCATTTGAGTTTGCATTTTAATATGTTCATTTTTTAATGTTGAAAATATCTTAATAGTTTTATTGACTGTTTCACTAACAATATCTTGGCTATTTTTCAAATTATCCTCTACACTTGATCGAAGTGAAGTGTACTCAAGTTTAACATTTTTTATAATTTTTTTTGTGTTCTTCAAGTTTTTGATCAAATTTTTGTTATGATCTACAATATTATTATTTTCTTTTTTAAGATCAGTCACAGTAATAAGAGCTGATTTAAGCTCACTGCTGAGACCTAAAATTTCTACGTTTTTACTTTCCAAATCGCTTTGAAGTAATGATAGTTTTTCTTCGTGACTTGTTTCATCCCTCAAAATTTTTATTTCTTCATCTTGTTTTTTCATTTTTATTTTTAATTGTTCCATTGAGTCTGTGCACTGACTAATTTTTAAATTTAACTCATCACAAACCATACTTTTATCAGTTAACATTTGATTCAATTTATCTAATTTTTGTTCATAACTTTCTATCAAACTATTATCTTTGCATTCTTCTTTAGAGCTTTGTAATTCTTCCAAAGTTTTCTCAAGTTCTGTAATATTTTTCTGAAGATTGGCAATTTTAGTCTCATCACTTTGATTTTGTTTTTCTAATTCTGCAATTTTCATGAGTAAATCTTTATTTTTATTGGCTTCTTCTTGATACCTCAAATTCATTTTCTCTTCTATATCGACAACTTTTTTGTTCATATTTTCCTTTATTTTACTTATTTCTTCCAGTTTATTTTTTTCATTATCATGAATATTTTTAGTATTTTCTTTTGCTAATAACTGTAATTTTTCAAGTTCTTGTTTTTGCATGTCTATGGTACTTTTTAATGACTTTTCTTCTTCCAAGTAATTTTTAAGTTCAAATCTCAATGATTTTATCTGTTCTTCTTTTTCTTCAAGTTCTCTGTGAATTGATAATTTATTTTCTGCAAGAGAGATGACAGATTCTTCTTCTCTTTTTTTTAGTGTATCAATTTCTTCTTTTAAATAGTTCATTTCTATTCTGGTGTTCTTTAATTCATTTTCTAAACTTTCACATTTTTCTTGACTTGATTTTTGTAAAAGATCATAATCTCTATCTAATGTAATTTTTTCATTGGAGATCTCTTGAATTTTGTCTTTACTTCTTTTCAGCATTTCTTTATACTTCTCTAAAAATGCCTCTTGTTTTTTCATTTTATCTTTTAATTGCATAATTTCTTCCGAAAGTTTATTTACTTCACTAACATTTTCTACACTTTTATTCATTGACAAATCAACTAATAATTCTGATTTATCATTATTTTCATCACATTCCTCAAGCAGTGAGTCCCCCAACACTTCAGGATTTGGACACTTCTCTTGAATTAATTTTATCTGTCACAAAATTAGTACCTTAAAAAAATATTGAACATATAAATATAGACAAAGGCACTATAAAAGTAAGCAATCAAATAAAAAAAGTGCAATAGAAAAATCATTTTTAACTTGAATACTGTGATAAGAGAAAATTTACAGATTTGAAATGTTTATAAAATTAAAATAAATTATTAAAAATGCTAAAAATAAATAATTTATGAGAGTTGATTGTGTTTTGAAAGATGAATTACTTATAATTTTATGAGTGCCAGAGTCTTAAAAGATTATTTCAATCAATTAATTTTTATAAAAAAACTCACTTTAGTTTTTAATGAATTAATTACATGATCTTTTTCTTCCAAATCATTTCTCAAAGCCTCTTCTAGATGAGCTTTAGCTTGTTGTTCTAAAGTACATTGTTCTTTGAGATCACTAATTCTTCTCAATGCTTTATCTTGTGTTTCGACTAACAAACTTTCTAACTTTGTTTTAGCTTTTTCTAGTTCACGATAATGAACACCAAGGTCTGTGAATCTTCCCCGATACTTATCATACTTGCTTTTAGATTTACGATAGGCTGTATATAGTTGTTCTTTTGACACATGATCTAATTGGGAACTGATATTATCATCCATTTCATTAGCACTAAGATCCATGTCAGACTAAGAAAAAATAAATCTCACTTAATTTGTTTATCCATATTGACATTGACATTTATCAAAGTGTAAAAATTACCTGGTAATGATACATATTTCCTGGGCTTTCGTAAACAGGGAAGAGAAATGATGCATCACTAACATTACTACTTATAGATGATCTCCTAGAAGTATTTGAGTTAGCCGAAGGTGGAGTCAAATCTACTGTCTGGAACCCATGCTTTGCAGGGCTGTTTTTTGGTGTTTCTAAATTTTTAAGAATAATTGGTAATGAATTAAAAATAACTTTTTAAGTTTCCAGTAATAAATTAATTTTTTCACAATGTTATGATTTATATAAAAGTGTTTTTTGCATAAATGTCAAATATAGAATTGAAAATCACATGCATGTATTTTTTAAGTATAGTTAACTCAAATAATTTTAGATCAAAAAAGTTAAAAGATACAAAATAAACAATGATTTACCATCTGTTTCTTCAGTTAAACTGAAATTGTCTTTTGGTGATAAATCTTGAATTGAGCTATTAGACAATGATGGGGATACTACAGCCTTAAAAAAAAATATTATTGTAAATAAACAAATGAATATGCAAAATTAAAAGATGAATAACGATAAAAATAAGTTTGAACCTGGGCCAATTGCTGCATACCAGCTTGCAATCTAGCTGGAGATTGCTTCATTTCCTCTGCTAACTTATCTTTGAACTTTTTAAACATGTTGAAGTAATAAAATTTTCAGATGTTTTGATATAATTTTCTCTTTGAACTTTGTCAATTGGGTTGCCAAAAATGTATTCAAATCTAGACGAAAATCATCTGCACCCACTTGTACTGTAATTTGGTAAATTCTATGACAATTTCTATGTAGAACAACTTCTTATTTGCATGACATTTTGAGCATTTCACATGACATATTTCATGATTAGATTTCTATTTTCACCTTTTTATTAGGCTATATATTCACGTTATTATTGATGGACTGTCAAAGAAAGAGTTTCAAACAAACAGTTAATCGATTCTAGTCACTCGTAGCAAAATAATTCAGAAAAGAGCAACTAATTTTCTGTTAGATATACCAAACTGTTTAGTTCTATACTTTCGTGCAATCATTCGTAGGCAGATTGTGTATGTATATATAGCATACGTGTGTTTATCATGTGTGTATATCTGACGCATACATTCTATATATGCTATTGGTGAAGTGGCAAACTGGCAAGTGGCATCTCACACTGCTGACTAACACCCACACCCTATGAAATTGGCGCGTATTATTCAAATACTCGTAATTTTTTGTTTGCGATATAGAAACGAAAATAACGTCGAGTAATGAACTCTTTAATTACTGATTCATCATAAAAATGTTGTTATAATTACTTCATTAAACGAATAATACATCGTCGATGTGAGAGGTGAGATTCAATACGGTTTGAAAATGGATTGGCATGGTCTGTTTGCCGATGTCCTTGTGGTTAAGAAGAAACTCAAAGATTGTCAAATAAAGCTACTTTTGAGCTCCTGGATTGATTTTTTACAAGAAGACAAATATATAATACTATGAAACAAAGTAGTAAAAGTTCAAACAACTATTACAATAATCTGACGTGTCATTTATAATAAATAATATTTTCGAAAACATCTCATCATTTCTTGCTTTATCTTATCTCATAAACCATATCAAGAACATATACCATATCGGCGTCGAGCGGACTGAGCAACACCACACCGTGGACTAGTTACTACTACTCTTTGATAATAGTTCAAGCCAGAGGCAGAGCTGACGTTCGGTTATGGTAGGCGAAAAGTTCGAAATCGGCCGCTTGAGCGCTGCTTATACAAGCTCATGCGCATTTTAGTCACATAATACATACAAACAAAAACACATATACAAGTACAAGTTTACAACTGAGCGAGCATACGTCGTATCAGTACGCAGCCCGCAGCACACGACATGTGAATCGGGATTAGCAGCGACATATAACCCCACTATACAGATTCGGTTTGTTTGGGTTCGAAGTTTGAACATAAGTCAGGAAGCCGACATCATATAGTTAGACTTTTTACAATAGAGTCAGCTATGGTAATATTTTCATTAAAATATAGATATTTTAATTGTTTAATAATCAAGTTCAATCTTACATTGCAAGTTTGAAAGTTGCAAATAAGAAGTATATTTTATCGGCTCTTTTCTAGGTTATTACAGAATAGTTTATCAGTATTTTTTAATCTACAATTTCGTTGATGAAACGTTTTTATTAGCAATTATTACATGGATATATTTTTTTAATTACGTAGGCTTCAAACGATGGAATTCCGACGCCAGCGGTTACTGGTTTTCCACCAGCACCACCCACGTTTGTGCCACCTTTGATGCCAGCAACTCCATTCATACCACCCCCTAATTTACCACCAGGTCCACCAGGAATGATGCCTCCACAGTTTTCTATTCCGCCTCCAGGGTTTGGATTTCCAATGGCACCAACTGATCCTAGTGTCATGGGTATGTTTTGCAATTTATTATGCGTTGTAACTTACAAATTTTTTTGTGCATTTTTAAATTAAAGTTATGATTTTTTTTTACTTTTTTTTTATTTTTTGCATGGTTTTACATTGCTTGAATTAAATATTTTTAGCTGTGCCTCCAATTATTACAACTGCTATAGGTGGACCTCCTCCAGCTCCAGCAGCTGCTGATCTAGCAATAAATCCATTATCCGAAAAAAAATCTGATTGGACTGAACATAAAGCACCTGATTCTCGCACCTATTATTATAATACGGTAACAAAACAATCAATGTGGGAAAAACCAGATGAGTTGAAAACACCAAGTGAATTACTGTTATCACAATGTTTATGGAAAGAGTACAAATCAGAAAATGGAAAAGTTTATTATCACAATGTTGCCACAAAAGAATCTAGATGGATCATTCCACCTGAATTAGAAGAATTAAAAAATAAGATAATAGCAGAAGAAGCTGCTGCTGCTGCCGCTGCTGCTGTCGCTAGTGCTACCAATACGTAAGTCTTTTTTCTTATATATCATCTCTTATTAAAAATATTTATGCATTAAATAAGCAAATATAAGGTAAATTAGCATAGATCATTAACTAAACAGTGAATCAATTATTTTTTACAGCGGAGGAATGGCTCTGCATCATATGCCCTCAAATTTAGGTGTTATGTCTCAAACAAATTCAGAATCTATGGGAAAATCGGCAATTGAACAGGCTATGGCAGCTACTCTTGCTGCTATAAATATTCCCACACCACCTGCCAAAAATGATGATGATAGTAATTCTAAAGACTCAGCAGGTGGTAGTAGAAATAGTACACCTGAGCCAAAACTGCCTTTTAAAGATAAGAAAGAAGCTATAGAAGCATTTAAAGATTTGCTACGAGAAAGAGATGTTCCTTCAAATGCAACTTGGGAACAGGCAGTGAAAATAATTCAAACCGACCCTAGGTATCCATCAATGAAAAAATTAAATGAGAGAAAACAAGCTTTTAATGCTTATAAAACACAAAAATTGAAAGATGAAAGAGACCAAGAAAGACTACGGTAAATAAACTTAATATTTTTTCTCAATTTTATTTTATTGAATAATTGCATTATCATTGATTTTTTTAGCTTAAAAAAAGCTAAAGAAGATTTAGAAAAATTTTTACTAGAAAACGAAAGGATGACTAGTACAACTAAATACTACAAATGTGAAGAAATGTATGGTACTCTAGAAATTTGGCGAGCTGTGGGAGATCAAGATCGCAGAGATATTTATGAAGATGTAATTTTTAATTTGGCTAAACGAGAAAAAGAAGAAGCAAAACAGTTGAAAAAACGAAATACAAAAAGACTTGCTCAAGTTTTAGATATTATGACAGAAGTTACATATAAAACTACTTGGCAAGAAGCACAAGCTTTATTATTACAGCAACCAGCTTTTGCTGAAGATGCAGATTTATTGCAAATGGACAAAGAAGATGCCTTACTAGTTTTTGAAAGTCACATTCGTCAACTTGAAAGGGATGAGGACGAAGAAAAGGATCGGGAAAAGAAACGAAGAAAGCGTCAAGAAAGGAAAAATAGAGATGGTTTCATTGTAAGTATTATTTTAGTGATAATTAGTAATAATGGGTTTAAATCCAATTTTTATTAAATTACTTCATTTTTTAGAGTTTATTAGATGAATTACATGAACAAGGCAAACTTACTTCAATGTCTTTATGGGTGGAATTGTATCCTATGCTATCGGCAGATCTTAGATTTTCAGTGATGCTTGGTCAATCTGGATCTACTCCCTTAGACTTATTCAAATTTTATGTTGAAGATTTAAAATCTCGATTTAATGACGAAAGGAAAATAATTAGAGAAATTTTGAAAGAGAAAAACTTTGAAGTGCAAGTGAACACAACATTTGAAGAATTTGCCACAGTTGTTTGTGAAGATAGGAAATCAGCAACGTTAGATGCTGGAAATGTCAAATTGACTTTCAATTTATTATTGGAAAAGGCTGAAGCTCGGGAAAAAGAACGTGTTAAAGAAGAAACACGAAAGTTTAAAAAACTAGAAGGTGGATTCAAAAATTTATTGAAAACTTTAGATGTTAATCACCTGGTATCATGGGATGAAATTCGGAAAAAAATAGAAGAAGAACCAGATTTCAAAGCTATAACTCTTGAAAGTGAACGTGTTAGGATTTTTAAAGAATATCAGCATGAAATTGAAGAGAGTTGTAGTCATCATCATATAAGAAGCAAAAAGAAAAAATCCAAAAAGCCTAAAAGAAGATCACGCTCAAAATCACACAGTGTAAGTAAAAAACATTTTGGTTTCATTTATTTTATTATTATAAATTTTTTGAAGTTCAGATTAAAATTTTAATTTCATTAATTATAGGATTCCGATGAAAGTAAGAAAGAAGCGAAGAAAAAGAACCATCGATCTAGGTCACCTAGTATTGCTACCAAGTCAGATAGTTCTGAATCTGAGCTTAGAAAAGTTAAGAAAAAGAAAAGCAAAAAGAAGAGAGCTCGAAGTCCTTCACAAATGTCATCTGACGAGTCATGCGATAGAAGAAGGAGAGGTAGTATTAGTGAAAATGTTCACCAAGAGCTTTCTGAAGATGAATTAGAAAAGCAGCGCGCAAAATTATTACGAGAACTTCAAATGCAGCAAGAAGATAATTAGATAAAGGTCAATAATTTCAAGTTATAATATATAATATTATATAAACACATTTTATCATATAAGATTTGATTTAAACTGTTGCGATTTACAGTTAACTAACAAGTTAACAAATTTGAATACAGTTAGTAAACATGATTTTTATGAATTACAATTAAATATTTATGTACATAATAGTTTAGCAACATAACTTTAATTATGACTTATTATCTTATATAATAAATTGCGACGCTGGTTATGTTTTAAAATGTAACTTATTGTAATTAAAATAGTTTTTTTTCTCAAAGAAGGGACAGTAGTTCCTTTTAATTTGGATTTATTGTGATTGTGTACAGAATTTGGGCTTTATTGGTTTGATTTAGTAATTTCTCTATCTACTAATTTCTGGTTTGAATGATAAATTTCATCTGTAATGCCCAAATTGTACAGTTCATCAAGTTTAATACATGTAAAGTCATAATGGATGATTTTTCAACTACAATTAAAGTAACAATAAATTAAAAAAGAATTCTAAAAGAAGTAACTTTATTATACAATTCCTTCATTTTTGAACTGATAAGATTTCAAAGACTTATTAGAAAACTCCAGATATCGATTGCAATTTTTAAAGTTTGTTCAGAAAAAGTATTGTATCATGGATGAAAATTGAATTCGAATTATGTAGGTTTCATTATTTTTACGTCCCTGAACGCCAAAAACAATGTTACAATAACTTCGCTCTGAATTTTTCAGTGCTTGCAGGCTTACGGATTTCAAATTTAAATTACAACTATAAATACGGAAATTTTTTTCAAATCAGCAAACGTACTTGCGGAAGACGCTAAGCAAATTATAGTACAGTGTTTGTACGTGTCAATCTCATCAACATTCGACAGAGGTCCTACAAAAATTTAAAATGATGAATGAAACTTTGGCCAAACTGAAACAATGGCGCAAAATATTCATTGCTAAAATCTTGAAAGTAAAAGCAAATAAAAAATTATTTCGAATCAGTGCCTATAGAAATGAGGAATTGCAAGTTCATCAAGAAGACATTTTTTACAATTAAAGCCGCATTTCTGGTTGTATTTTGCGAAAAAAACATTATACGATTGGATTTAAATGTCGGATAATGTATACACACAAGCGGATATTTACTCGCAAGTATTTATACAGTTGAAGTAAAGACTACCGTTTGTGTAACCGACAACATATGTGATGAAAACACGCATAGCATGTCCGTGCATTTACGTGCATACAATACCTTGGACCGTATTCATTTTTGTTAATGCATATACACACATAGGTCAACGTGTGTTGGTGCATTACAGATTGTCGGTGTTAGTATAAGTATTTGCGAGCGCCCGTCATGTGTGTCGGTGGCTTCCATCATGTCCGTGTTATATGTGTGTAAGCTGGCCCCGCTGCGAGTTCGTGGGCTGCGATGGGTATCCTATATATATACAAAACGGCGAACTACGGCGGCGGCTCGAAAGTCGAGAACTCGAGAGAGCGTTCGAGACCCGAGAGTACAGCTGGAACACAGCTAAAGAGCCGAGGAATTATTAGTAGCGGTCGGCCGTCCGCGGCAGTGCCTCATACGTCAGTCAGGAGTTGTCTGCAGCTTTGCACCCATCCCAATTATTATTAGTGTGCGACAGTAATCCAAGCACGACTCGTGCCACAGACAACACACGCACCGAAGCTTTCGTCGTATTGTGCTCTTTTAAAGCCAATTGTCATCACAGCTGAGTTAGCTTGCGGCCTTCAAAATGTTGAATCTTTGCAAGCAGTCGTTCCTCGCGAACGCCCAAAAGTGAGTCTTTATGTATCATTATTTTCATTGAAAATCTAACAAAATTCGAATGATATTTCGACTCGTCGGTGTTTATCGTTTCAATCGACCGGGCGAACCACGAAGGTTTTTCGCCCTGGGGTAATTTTATTATTGTATCGATCACGCGGACTGTATTATGTGTGTTGCCGATGTAAGCCGTGTAAATGCGTGCAAAGTAAGCTGGCCGTGCTAATTTTGACACTCGCGTCTCGCGTTGGTACGTGCCACATTAGTAAAGTAACTCTTGTCTCCTCAGAATGTTTTGGTTCAACGACAATGACTAAGGCCGATATGACGCTTTGCGCTATTCGTGCGCTCGCTTTTCGCCTCGGCTGCTACGGCACACACTTATCGTTTTCTATACGTATATTGCGCATTGCACGCACAAAAACGGCTCACCTGCACTTGGATTTGCCCTGCATACCTTTGAGTGCATATGTGCATGTACGGGTTTTATAATAATGATGTATCCCATACATATTATAATACGTGCATCGACAGAGTTCGTGCAATGACGCGTCCTTGCCATTTCTCTCGAAACGCGCGAGACTCGAGAGGCAAAGCGCTCCGTATTATAGGTATAACAATTTCGGAAATTTCCACTCGTGTATACAGCGAGCGGCCCTCGCGCTCATAGTTGTGCCGCATTATAAACGTGTAATGCTACATGAGCGAAGGCTCGAGATCACCCTAATCGACTTTTTTAGAGGCATCTCTCCCGCTCTTTAAAGTTCCACATCACCGAGTGGATTTTGAAATGGATATTTCCATTCGCTGTGATTTACGGAGAAAGCGCTCAGCTGCTCTGTCGTTACGAAATACTTCGAAATTAAATGCAAGCTTCTAAATTCATTCTTTTGTATTCCTACACGTACATGTATGTGTGGATATCATAACAAAATTCTGAATCTTTAAAAGCTGACAGCTATTACATTTGGTACAAAAATATTGCAGCTCAATGAATCTCCAGCTGCATAATTTTTTTCGCGTCCATATCGATACAGTCCATGCATACATTTTAGTCCACAAGAATGCCGAAAGTTCACGATTTTTTTTAGACTTCACTTTCCCGACTTTTCGAAATTTAAACATACAGCTCCACCTCAAACTTGTTTTGTTGGAAGAAGTTCTTTGTTTAGATCATGCTGAGCTAAGCTTGATTGAGCTTCTCACAATGTGTCACATGCTCAAGTGCGGGCTTTAAAAGCTAAAGAGTTCGTTCATCTATCTACGTTTAAAATTTTGAATCCGATTCGATAATCAATACGCGAATTTTAAAATCATTCTCGTCAATGAGCTTAAACTATTACTTCATATAATCATTCTTTAGATTTATTATGTTATTACAAAGAGAGCCATTTATCATTGTTCATGAATCATTTAAAATTAGAGGGATGCAATCTTGTAGTTTACATTTACAATTAATTAAATTCTTGTATAGTTTCAAAACAGCTTTCTCTGATTAAATAAAGAGAGTTTTGCAAACATTTACTTGTACTTTTTCAAGCAATGATTTATTACAAGTGATAAGACTATTTACACAGCTCATTTAGGCAGATAAAGATAAATAAGTTAATATTAGTCTAGCTTATATTTGCTTAATCATTCCTTTTACTTTATTGAAATTCTCTGTTTTGACATTAAAATTATTGTTGAAAAATTTCTTGTATAATTAATTTATAACAATTATTTTACAGAACGAGTGCGAGATGTTTTGGCAGTGTTTTATCTGTACCAAATCCAAAAGAGTTTCCTCTGGAAAATGAGCCGCTTTTGAGCTACAAAAAAGGGAGTAAGGAGCGAGCAGAATTAGAAAAAGTTTTAGATAAAATGGCTGGCGAATGTGAAGAAATACCCTTGGTTATAGGAGGTAAAGAGATAAAGTCTGATGTAGTTAAATATCAAGTCATGGTAAGTTCATAATACTAATATATTATTATTTGTGTTTTTATTTATAATAATATATATTCAATCATTATTTACTAAATTTTTCTAGCCACAAAATCATCAACATAAAATAGCCAAATATTATTATGCTACACCTGACCTAATTAAAAAAGCTATTGATGTTTCTGTCAAAACGCAAAGAGAATGGGAGCAAGTTTCTTTTGAAAAACGTTTGGACATATGGAACAAGGCAGCAGATTTGATGGCGACTAAATATCGGCAGCAATTAAATGCCGCTACAATGTTAGGACAAGGAAAAACTGCCATTCAAGCGGAAATAGATAGTGCAGCAGAACTAATAGATTTCTTTAAAATCAATGGATATTTTGTAAAAGAAGCCCTAAAATATAAACCTATTTCACCAGATCCTAAAGAAACTCTTAACTCAATGAGATATAGAGGAATGGATGGTTTTGTTGCTGCTGTTTCCCCTTTTAATTTTACTGCCATTGGTGGCAATCTTGCCTATACTCCAGCTTTAATGGTTATTATTTTCACTAATATTTAGTACTTATAAAGTTACAGTTTATGAAAAATTTGATGAATACGATTGCTTGAAAGTAGAAAATTTATCGATTAACATTCATTTATTTTAGGGCAACTCTGTTTTATGGAAACCATCAGATACTGCTGTTTTATCTAATTGGTGGATTTACAAAATATGTAAAGAAGCTGGAGTACCTGATGGAGTTGTAAATTTCGTTCCTGCTCATGGACCAGATTTTGGAGATACTATTACAGCTTCTCCCTACCTATCTGGCATAAACTTTACTGGATCAGTTCCAACCTTCAATCGATTGTGGATGCAAGTTGGAAAAAATATTAATAATTACAGAAATTACCCAAAACTTATAGGGGAATGTGGCGGTAAAAATTTCCATTTTGTACATCCTAGTGCAGATGTTCAATCAGTTGTCATGGGTACTATTCGAAGTGCTTTTGAATATAATGGACAAAAATGTTCAGCTTGTAGCAGAATGTATGTTCCTGAATCTTTGTGGAACGAGGTATGGAATTTATAAATTAAATTTTTCATCTTCTTAAACTATTCAGTTAATATAAAAATAATAATTTTTAGATCAAAACTGGTTTATTATCTACTCGTGACAAATTGAAGATGGGTGATCCGCGAGATTTTTCGGTATTCCTTGGAGCAGTTATTGATGCTGCAGCGTTTAAACGAATTACTGGATACATCAATCATGCCAAGAATTCCCCTGATCTTGAAATAATTGGTGGTGGTCATTATGATGATTCGTAAGTAATTAATACATGTAAAAAAATGTAAATCAATAGCATATATTTAACGAAATTGATTTGTTTTGTAGGAAAGGATATTTTATTGAGCCAACAATAGTTCAAACTAAAAATCCCAAGGATAAAATTATGACAGAAGAAATTTTTGGGCCAGTTTTAACTGTTTACGTTTACAAAGATGCAAATCTCGATGAAACCATGAAGTTAGTTGAATCAAGTACACCTTATGCATTGACTGGAGCTATATTCAGCCAAGATGAGTGAGTATTTTAGTTTAGATATTATATTTATATTAGTTTTGTGATATTAAGTTTTAACCTTTGGTACTTTTTTTCATAGAAAATGGGCAAAACGAGCTCTGGAAGAATTCAGATATAGTGCTGGTAACTTTTATGTCAATGACAAGTCTACAGGATCTGTTGTAGGTCAACAACCTTTTGGAGGTGCTCGTATGTCTGGAACAAACGATAAAGCAGGCGGCCCACATTATGCTTTGAGATGGGCTTCACCTCAATCGATTAAAGAAACATTTGTACCTCTTAAAGAGTATGATTATGAATACATGCGTTCGTAAACTTATTTCCTCCACAAGTGTGTCTTAATTATTGCAATAGAGTAGTATACAAAAGTGGACTTAATGGTAAACTAGTATTTTTTGAATTACTTAACGCATTTTAAACTATTAAATTAAATATGAATCCACTTTGATTGTACAATAATATTCAGAAAAAAATCTGGTTTTTTACAGACTAGATAATCAAATTCACTCATCTGATTTTTAGAGTATTTTAGTTCCTTTAATTGCCAAGTGTATTCAATTTTGGGTATTATTATTGTAATAAAACTTCAAGAAAATCTGTAGATAAACATTGAATGCATAAAAGTTTTTCTACCATCAAGTGATAAACTGTTTAATAGATCTGAAAAATTAAATTAAGATTCTTTTATAACAAAGCGTCTAGATGTAGGTTGATAATTGTTTGTAAAATGAGTGTAAAAAACTGTTACAGCAATTACTTTAAATATTTACTTTTTCGTATGATCAAGGGGCACTGCTAGCACCTATCTGTCAAGCTCGACAGACGAGCTGTAGTTCGGCAAATACATTGCAAACGGGTTTTTCGTTTGTATTTACAATAATAAAGACAAATAATGAGACTTTTATCGTTTTGCTTTGAGGATGCGGCATTTGAAGGCCACTGGTGGGCTTACTTATTGTAATGTTGTAAAATTATGTACAAAAGACACTGATAGTTGATATTTTTAAAAATCATGTCAAGACTTGAGATTATCTCTCAACCCCTGTTAAGACGTTACCGACGTCGTCATAGAATCTCAAATAAATAGCTTTGTAATATAATATAAAATATAATTTGACACTTGTATTCAACCACCAATAACTACATAAAACAAAAATTTATTGAACAATTTTATAATTATACTTATTCTTTTACCCATGCCACTGTTCAAATATTGACAATGATAGATTTAGCTTGCAATTTTTAAATCAAATTAAATTCATGATTATAAAAATTTTCAGGATGTAATTAAAATCAGACAGTTGAGGATTTTGGTCTCATGAAAACGAGTATGATGGGTGAATTAGGCTTCCTATCTACCACATGCCTTTCGTAAAATGGTACTTCAATAAAAATTCGATACATTTACATATGTACTCAAGCTTTAGTTGGTTTATTATCTTTTAATTCAATTATACTCGACTAGAAATCATAAGAATGTCAGGAGTTTCATAGGATAGTGGGAAAAATGTATAAAACAAGAAAAATTACATCATTTTGACATACAAAATCATTTATTCATAGAAAAGGACACTTTATACTAGAACGTACTGTCTTATGATTCTTATGTAGCCTAGAGAAGGTTTCCACCATCCTGGATAACCAAGTAGTAAACAGACTCGTTCATTCGTCTATCACATATCGTATAAAATATGCAGTGATTCGTATGAATAAAAAAAGTATAAATTACGAAAAAATACGTTGTAGTTAATAGCGATGAAAAGACAAATTGTTCATCATTATGTAATGGCTCTTAAAAAGTATAGCTTATCAAAGTAAGTAATTGTGAATTATAACTATATGAATAGCAAAACCAACTGCCACTAGGTATTGTGTGTAATTACGCAACTTTTTTCATCGAGTACCTTGAGAGGCGCTTGCATATAAAATGATTATATGCGTACGATGAGAATTGCCCACTTTTATTTATATCTAATAGCTTGATGGATTGTTTACATTGTTACATCGTTTGACAGATTATGATCAACAACTGAAGTCAGTAGAAAAAAACCGATCATATTCTTACAATGTGTGCGCATGTATATAGCTCGTACGTAAGGATTATTTTTATCGATATACGAATCACAACTCGTTCATATGTTTCATTTTTTTGTTCAGATTTTTTTGTTGCTGTCAATATAATTAATACGCATAATAAATATGTGTTGTTTATCATGTATACATAACACATTCAAGTACACCTATAAGTATAATATTTTCTATGAGACACAGATAATATACATGCTCGCGTGCACATCAACACCCACACATGCATTTACACACTCATACACATTCATACATACACTGCACAGACGAGTAGTGCACAATTGTCATTTACTAATGAAACATTTAAACACATCTATCGCTACGTTATTACATATATTATAATGGAGCTTTAACAACTAGAGAGGGATTGTTTTAGTTGCCGCATGTAGAGTCGGCTCAAGCCGCGCAGTCTCTCGACTTTTTTCTTGTCAAGTTACGCAATTTCAATTTAATTCGAAAATGTAAGTAACTCCGAGCTTTTATCCGAGTGAGCGAGTGGACGCGCCATGACCACTGCCCGGCCCGGATAAAAGCGATACATTCTCAAATATCGACGACTGAGTTGCGAGCCGACGCCGCGGCGCCCCGAGCTTTCTACTTCAATGGAAGGCTGAAGATTTGCTGATCGAGCAAAATGTACAAGTGTGTGCCTGCAGCCTATCCGAGCGTCGAAGTAAGTAGAATTACCGTGTCAAATTATTTTTGGCTTAGACGTCGTCACGAATGTTAATTACAAAAAAATTTATCAAATAACTTATGCAGAAAAATCCGATGAATTTCGACGATTAATTTTTTTTTTCAAGTCTACCAGTCGGACTGCTCGGAAAAGTTGTTTTTCCTTCATCGCTAAACAAACAAATAAACGACGAGAAAAAAATTTTCCAATAATCAAATTCATGGTTTACATATTGCTCTTTTTACGCTTCTCAATTTTTTGAATCGGGCGATAGTTTTAGAAATTTACTGAATACTGAAAAATAAAAAATGAGCCGTTATCACTAGTGTATCTCACGCTCTCAATTTTTTCGCACGTGACATTAATTGTTAATTGTTGCTTGAGATTATTAAACGTTACTTAAAATAATTTAATTTCATCGTGTAAACCTAATCGCGTTGTTAAAAAATCGTCAGCCCACCGGAGAAGCAAGTAGTTTTTTGTATACTCGGTCTTCCGCGCGAGCCGATGAGTAAGTATTTAAAAAAAAAAGATAAGTTTTCATTCAATATAGTATCGAGTTTTTTTCTTTCTTTTTCACAGAATAGTTTTCTTTTCAGATTTTTCTGAGCGTACCGCGTAAGTTATTCCATGGCTAAAAATGCGTTTTAACTTAACATTACAACATGATAAAAGTTTATAAGAATTATGTACAGTGACAAAAATAAAAATAGAAGGAAAGTATGCCCTGCCATCAATTAATATATCAATTAATATATCAATGAAAAAATTCTAAGGAAAAAAATAAAGCACATAGTAGGCTGAAAGCGCGTGTGATTCGATCATGACTTACCACGTCTCGTTTTTAAACTCTTCGTTTTAAGGGAAACACTTTGAAATGAGCTGGGTGAGCGATCAAAATTACGGTTCCTGAAAACTTGGGAAATATTTTCGAAACAAGTTTTTTTTTCGTCAATTGCGACACGTTTGTAGAGAAATGGTATTATTATGAAAATCCGATAGTACTAGTGCAACGCAAAAATTTCCCTCTTAACGAATAGCCTATAAACTATAATGCGTTTCTTATCACTTGCTACTCTCAACTACATTACACATGAATTTTACTTTATGTATCATATATAATATACTCGGCCGTTATGATTTGGCACCGTAGTAATTGAATTCGTTCACGCTTTGATCCACATTTACTTTGTCTAACATTTCTATATACGTATAGATGTATAATGATATATACATACACATATACAAATGAATATATGTTTATGTATATAAGATATATATATTTATATATAATCATATAAATATGTATAAATTTGTATATATGTATAAAACAATATAATATTTATATAAAACGTTTACATTTTGGCCACTCAGTTCGCGATCGCCTGCTAATTAATTGTCTTTGTCTAAGGCGATTTCTACAGAGGTAGATATAAAATTTCAATTCACACTTACTCGCGCACTTTTTCAACGAAGAGTCATTCAATCGTTTCATTCATTCGATCCACTCACGCTCGCATTCGATTATTTTTGTACAACGCCTATTACTCGCCGCAGTACTTTGTTTTTTTTTTATTCCCCCCTTTATTTTCTTCAAGTCGAATTTTCAACGTAACCCGTTGAATCCAAGTTCTTTTGCCTCTAACGAATTATTACTTTAATAAATGGCTCATCTCCTCCTCTTCCTGGCAGCGGCGTGCGCTATCATTTCCTTCAGCATCGGACTCGCCGAGCACGCCTTGGGCTCGCACTGCATCTTGCCGTCCCCGCCGCAGCTGTAAAGAAAATTTCATAGTCGTTAAAAAATAATTCTCCACTTTTCAGGAGTATAACTCGGGCACGAGATCAGAACAGAAAGCAAAAACACTTACATGCAACTCATGCAGGGTCCGGACTTGGTTCTAATGTCCTCGCCGACTCGGTAGGTTCGGTTTCCGACTTGGCATCCTCCGCGATTGACGCTTCCCTTGTACGTGTTGGTGTAGAAGTGAGGCGACACCGTCGTCGTCGTTGTAGTGGTCGTCGTCGTCGAATTGTAAGCGAGACCCGTCGAGACCGGACACGAGTATCTGGGACAGCAGAAGCCGGGAATCGGCTGCTCCGTGCAGGCGGATATCGGCGGTGGACAGCTCTGCTGCAGACAGATTATGTCGCTGCGGAAGCAGAAGCAGAAGTCGCAAGGATCGTCGCGCGGGATCTGCTGAGCCGACATGTAGATTTTGCCGCCGTATCGGCAGGTGCCGGGGCCGAATATGCTGGTGTCGTCGTAGTCGTCCGGATCCGAGGGCGTGATGTCTCCGCTCTCGGGCGGGAAGTCACTAGGACTGTTGGACTCGACGATTCCTTCGTCGGGGCCGGCGGGTCTCTTATGGCCGCCGTTGACGTCGGGCTCGTTGTGGGCTGTCTCTTCCTCGTGCGATCCGTGACTCATTTCGTCGATCGCTTGGGAATCGACCGGGTGCTGTTCTTCCTCGGTGCTGCTCACGTAGCTGGCTTCGCTCGACGATGCCGATTCCGTGCTCGGTGCGCTGAATTCCGTCGATGCTTCTTGTTTCACTTGGCTGTCTTCTGGTTTTTCACTGAAACTGGGCATGGTTGGAGTGACGTCCATTGTCGCGACATCTTGAGGTGTGATTTCTTTCATCTCGTCGGTAGAGACGACATCGGAGGAATCGCTCGGAGCAATAGGCGATGCCGAAGTTTGCTCCTCGGGTTCTGCTTCAATTTTGATAGATTCGATGGTCGTGGACGATTCGTTATCTAAAGTTTCCTTAGGAATTTCGGATTCCTGTATTGTTTCTTGCGTACTCGATGGTTCTTCGAAGATCGCAGTACTTGACTTCTCCGTTGTTGCTGATTCGGACGAACTAACATACGATTCAGTCGTTTTTGCCTCTGCTTCAGTAGTTACTACATCTTCGACAACAACTGGAGGTTCGGTTGGATTTACTGCACTGTCGGTTGTCTCTGATTTTGGTGTTACTGTAAATGTCTCCTCGCTAGTTTTTTCGAGTTCTTCAGCAATCTTGGATGTTTCTGTAGATTCTTCTTCTTTTGGCGTTTCCGACGAAACTCCAGGAACAACTTCGCTAAGATCTTTGTTTGCAATAGTTTCGTCGATCGTAGATGAAGTTTGAGTAGACGTCTCTTCGATTTCTGGGGCCTTTGAAGATTCATCACTGGCGATGATTGAAGCCTCGGAGCTACCTCTCAAAACCTCGTCACTCGTGGTATAGGCTACCGACGATGACTCTTCTTCAAATCGAGACGTACTGTACGCGGATGTATTATCTAATCCGGACGCAGTTGAAGATTCGTCCCTCATTATTGTAGCATCGGTAGGTGTTTGCTCTTGTTCTGGACTCTTTTCTTCCATCGAACTCGATGGTATTTCTGGTTTTAGAGTTTCTGGCAATGGGGTGGATTCATTTTGTAAAACTTCATCGGGAAGAGAGCCTGATGCGGGAGTAGTAATTTCATTTTCCAATCCCATATCTTGACTTGTTTTTGTTACAATCTCTACAGTTTCATCTGGAATTGAAGTTGAGCCGATATTTTTGTCATACAAAGATGGTTTTGTCTCATCTTCGGAGATAATTTCATCGATCCGCTTAGCCGTCGTTGACTCATCCATTGATACACTGCTGAAAGTAGTTACAATAGGTTCTTCGAATGCAACAGTTGTTTGTTCAGCTTGATCGACATTGTTTTCGCTGACTCCGGATGCAGTCGTTCTTTCAATTTCTGATTTAATTTCTCCAGATGAACTGTCTTGTTCTGTTTTTATTGGAGATTCTGTGGATGAAGAAGATTCAATAAGTAGATGAGTCGTACTTTCAGTCAATTCAACTTGAGGTTCAGTAGTGTCGTATTGCTTTGAGCTCGTTTCTACATCCACGATGTTTTTATCTTCGTTTGATTCCGTAGGTGAAACTGGTTCAAGTGTAGATGATAATCCATCTCCTCTTATGTCAATTTCAGCCCCCTCGGTACTTATTGGGATATTTTCTGCCTCGTTGATTGGGCTTGGTGTCTTCTCTTCCATTTCTGGCATGGGTGTTGAGGACTCTTTTTCCATATCTGGAATGTTTGATTGATCCGAGGATGCCTTATCTTCTTGGGTTGATACAATTTCAGGAGTAATGGTTGTGCCGTCGACTGACAAACCTTCCGTTGGTTGAGATTTATCTTCTTCGTATTTTGGAGTATGCTGTTCCGACATTTGATTGTTCACTTGTAATTCTACACTTGGAGCAGAATTGCACGTGTAAATCGGACAACACATGTTCGGATCGGAGAGCATCGAGCAGTTCGTTAAATCTGCAGGAGGTGGCGAACATTTGATAATTTCACATTTGACTATACTACTGACACATTGGCAACTGATTTGGCAAGGATTCGCAGGTGGAATCGCTGAATTATTGATATAAGACTGTCCGTCAACGAGACAATTTCCTTCACCAGGAATTCCAGATGATTGATTCTCCGTTAATATTTCGTTTGTATCCTGAGAATGACTAGATTCTTCTTCAGATTTATCCATACTTTCGGGAGATTGAGTTGACTCTGGGCTGATGGGTACACTTGGCTCTTCGATCTTAGAATCATCTTCGACCGGGGTGTTGGAAATTTCAGTCGAAGATTCTAAAGGTATCGATGTAATCGGTGGTTGAAGATCTTCTGGTAATTTCTGTGGTTCTTCTGCTTCATCTGGAACTATTTGCTCGGATGCTTCTGTACTCACACTAGCTGGGGCTGTGTTGACATCGATTTCTTCCGGTGATTTTTCGGAAGTTTCGGAGATGTTGGGATCATTCGTCTGAGACTCGATAATTTCAGGATCAACAATTTCTGGCATTGCGCTAGATGGTCCAACCATGCTGGATTCATCGGTTTTGTCGTATTTAGGAGAAGTTTCTGGTTCTCTAACAATAGCATTATCTCCGACTGACACGTTTGTGTTTTCTTCACCGGAAGTTGGGGGCATAATTTCTTTCTCGTCTTCAGATACCTTAGTATCTACAATCGGTGTCGTCATGTCAAAATCGTCTGTACTTTCGTGTTTAGGGAGTTCTTCGCGCGGAACTTCTTCGGTTTCTTTTATTTCATTTTCTAGACTTGGCAGTGTAGTCATTTCTTTGGCATTTTCATCACTTGGTTTTTCAGTCATACCAGTATTTGAGTCAACGATAGAATCTATCGAGGATTCGGAAGGTGGTTGTTCAAATGGAGCCTTGGGAGTAATGACAACGGGTGTTGTAAATTCTGTACTTGAATCTTCTTTGGGAAGGTCTTCGTATACTGGTGTAGATGGCTGTCTGTCAATTTCGTTGCTTGAGCTCAACGGTGGTAAATAAGTTGTTGATCTTGTTTCAAAAGTTTCGGGTTGCATATTATTCACACCTTGTGGTGAGTCACTACCCATTGGAAGATAGCTTTGTGTTACTTCATCTATCACAGCATCATTGTCTTCAGCTTTATGTTCAGGAACTCTTTCTGGGATTGGTATACCCGTTGATCCTTGTTCGTAAGTTCCAGACTTGTCGTCAACTGGTGTTTGTGTCGATGATTCAGTGAAGTTTGGAACATTTGAATTGTCGTCTTCATTCGATGAAATAATTTCTGGACTGAGAGTTGTCATAATTTCGAGTTCTTCAGCTTCATCATTTGTAGAGCTTGATGAAGATTCGTCTCTTGATCCCGGAGTCGTTATAAATTCAGATTCAACAGACCTATCTGTATAATTGGTGAGATCGGAATCTTCTAATTTAGATTCATCTAATACATTTGGTTTCGTTGAAAATTCAGGTTCTGTTGACTCATAAGTTTCCTCTGGATTTTCCGAACTAGTTTCAGTTTCCTTAATCGTGAGAATTTTGTCTTCTCCTTCGATTATGCTAGGCTCTGATGATTCACTTATAATAGATTTGTCGGTTACTCCTACGTGTGATTCTTCGACCGAAGCGAAAGGTGTTGTTGCAGGTATTTCCTCGTTTCTATCATCGAAGATTACTGTAGTCGGTGAATCAGAAATGGGGAATGGTGTATGATCATCTCGAGGACGCACCGATGAAATTTCAGAAATCACAAGGGCATCTTCAGTGGCAGTTGGCATTACATTGTCTTGATCTAAGGTCGGAGCTGGTTTTTCCTCAATTTCGCTAATTTTAATATCTGGAGTAATGGTAGTTCTTTCTTCTTCCATTGTTTGATATGGGTCTTGTGTAGTTATCGATTCGATTATTTCGTTAGCTTCTGGAGTCGTCACTAAGCTACCTGGACTAGAAGATTCACTAGATACTTCTGATTCTTTATTCATATTTGTATTTAAAGTAGAAGACTCTTTTTCAAACTCATTTACTCCATGGTCAATAATTGAGCTTTCACTGATGGGAGTCTTCGTTGTTTCAGAAACTTCATCAATGACAACTGCATTTGTAAATTCATTTTCAGCGGAACTAGTGGTAGTAATTTCGGGATGAATTACCGACGCATCTGCTTCAGTAGATTGTTTCATTTCGGCCTCAGATTCCGTTGACGATTCTGCAATTTTATTCACTAATTCTTCTTCAGACCGCGAAGGAAGTTCTGAAGAACCAGGCGAGGGTCGAGAAATTTCATTGTCTGTTTTAGGAATTGTGTCTATCGGGGCTTCCGAACGATCCTCAATCGGTTCGATTGGTGCTTCGGTTTGAGCTGGTTGATCTTTATCCACTCGCTGAGTTGAACTGTCAGAAATATCCTCGGGAGATTTGGTCGGTATAGATTCGGGAATTTCATTTCCAATCGATGAAGATTCTAATAATGAACCATCACTCGTGGGTTGCTCAGCACCAACAATCTCTTCAGGAATTGAGTTATCAGCACCGGGGAATATTTCCAGAATTTCCATGGTTGTATTGTCGGGAGCTGAAACGAACAAAAATCAAATTAATAAAAAACTCGATAAATATTTACGCAATGCTTCTTTTCGATTTACTTACCACAATGATAAGTTGGACAGCAGTTGCTATCAAGCGGTGGCAAAGCTGTACAATTTTTGCCATGGAACTCCATTGGTTTTTCGCATTCCTGAACGGCACAGGCAATCTTGCCGTGCAGACAATAACAATGCTGACACGGCTGAATGGTGTAAATTAGTTCTCCGTCCTCGTACATTTTACCCTCGTGATCGCACTGCGGTGGCTCCTCGCGTGGTGCCAAAGTCGTTGTCATGATCAGACCCGGAGTCGTGTCCATATCTTCGTATTCTACGGGATATAAGAAATTCATTTAAAATCTTTGCTCGATTTCAGATAAAATGCGCGTTATTAAAAAAAACCTACCGCAATTGTACTTGACTGGACAGCAAATTCCATCTTGATAAACGGGCTTGCAGCCAGCGACGCTGAGGGTGCATTGTTGCATAAGACAGGTCGTCTTGTTGCGTATGCAATAACAAAGTTCGCAAGGATTACGGGGATCGAAGGGCATCTGCGCTCCGTCGGCGTAGAATCTTTCGTCGACGTTGCAGCCGTAAGTGTCGGGGAAGCCAACGTCGGTCGGACCTGGCAGTTCTTTCGAAGGCGCGCTCGTCGTCGAAGTCAGCAGCTGCACCAGTACTTCGGGGCACGTGATGACTGGACAGCACTGGTCAGGTCGCTTTTCCACCATGCAATCTTGGCCGATCGCTTTCGTGAAGGGACAGACTCGCAGGTAGCATTGGAGCATGCGGTTATGGCACGTGCAATTTAAGCAGGGTTCATTTGTGATAATTCTTGCACCTTCTTGGTAGCGCTGATTGTTGTAGTAACAGCCTCCTACATCAAAACGCACGAATCATTTTAACTGTTTATTATTCTTCGTAATTTATTGATTTGTTTATCCTTCATCGTAAAAAATGATTATTAAAAATTAATAAAAAATTCATTCAAATTCCATTCTTACCATCGTATTCGGCTATCTGTGTTGTTTCTGTTTCTTGGACAGGTGCTGAAACAAAAATTGAGTTCGAATTATAAACTTTAGTTCCAGTATCATTCATTATTTTCAAATTTTAATATAATTGTAAAATGTTTTTTTCATTTTTAAGGTTTGGTATTTTATCAATCAGAAATTATATGATGTATTATTTGAATATTTTTAGATCACAGCGGTATTTACCACCTTTCATAGATTTTCTTAACTATACAAAATTGAAAACGTGTCGGAAGCCGAGATAGAAATGATTGTATTTGTCTGCGAAGTACTTAAAAGCTACAAAGAAAAAGTGACACTTTTTGCTCTTAAACCCCATTGAGAACGACTGCGAACTGACTAAAGCTTTTTTCTATCTGCGTTGGCCCATAGTTTTCGTTTTCAGTTTGCCTCGTTGTAAGTTTTCTTTGTCCAGTCGTTTCTTTTGTGTTACAAGTTATGAGATCTGTTTTGTTGTACGCGGTAGAGATTGAATTTAATTATTATTCGACATCTCATTGTACGAATTATCAAACTTTTTGCAGACCCGTCCTTTTGTCGCCTTTATGAAATATGTCTTTCGAGCGCGGAGCTTTTCATCGCAATTTTGATTGTTGTCTTAGTAAAAGACAAGATTTAATTTCAAAGTACGAAATTAATTCGATATTTTGCTTGAAAACGGTGTAAACGACAGTGTTTTTAAAACTTTACACCACACCATTGTATTTTTTTGTCGAGGTAAAACCATTCGACCATTTTGTCGTAAGCTTGCGAAAAACCGTTTGGATGGAAAAATCACGAGCAGAAAAAAAGTCGCAACATTCTTTAATGCTCCGGCGCATGTTTAGCAGCCTGTACATTTAAATAGCTCTGGCATTGTAGGCGGAACGAAATGCTAAATCGAAAAGTGATCGTTTGATCGTGAAGAATATTACAAACGACTAGGCTGCTCATTAGAGGAGAGCCAGAGGTATCTGTGATTTTCAAAATAAGTTCTCAAGCCGAGAGAAAGAGAAGCGATAAGGGGTCTCTCTCTCTCGAGCGAGCTGGAACTATATAGCCGAGCGGATGTACGTGTAGCAAAGTGTTGTGCTGTTGCAAAATAAATTAGGCATTTTTGCTCTCTAGCTAGCCCCTTAGTCAAAGAGATGTTCTCTAATTAAAGATTAAGCATACATACATAGCGGAAGAAAGAAAGAAAGAAAGAAAGAAAGAGAGAAAAAACGGGGAGGGAGAAAAAGAAACGAATAGAAGAAAGAGAGAGAAACGGCTAGGATTCGTGACCAACGATCGCAAGAGAGCAACAGAGAGAAAGAAACGACGAGAAAAATGCCTAATGAGCGTCTTGGCCTTGGAGGTTGGCGCTCTCGTATATAAGAACATCGGCATGGGCATCCTCGCGAGCAAAGATACCAATACACCTCCCTCTAAGAATATTTGAATTCGTATTGAATAGAAAAAAAGTTGTTAGAAGGAAGAAATTTCGGTTACCGAGTTCACGCGATCCGATTGATTCTTTATGTTTCTAGTAATGTGATATCAGGAAGTGATACGATTGGATGCGAGTTATTCGATGGAAAAAGTAGCGTAAAATTATTTTAGTAGACAGATAATCGCGGAGTATATTTATAAATCCATAAACAAGCCGACGCGGTGGTGGCTGGCTGCGGCGAAAGAGTCGTCAAGCAGAGATACGGAAGATTAATTTATTCGCTCCTCGAGGGCTGAACGTGTAAGGACGATCGGTATCTTTCTCTCTCCGGAGCTCTCTCGCTCGAGTACAATAAGCGATTAATAAAGTCACAAGGCGAAATTGCTGCCTTGCGCGCTTGCCGAGCGGCAGCAGCTTATATACTTACACGTGCGAGAGAAGGAGCTTGGAGCGAGCGGCGATGTTTATTAATGAACGCCATGCGACGATCTGCAGTCTTAACAAACATGCATTACTCTTAATTAACGAATCATGCTGCGTGCTCCAAGCTCTCGACGCCAAATGCATAATGATAAATGTCGCGCGCGCGCGAGGATTCGTTTGGTATCCTCTCCAGAACTCGACAAAATCGTTTTTTATTTCGAACGAGCCAAAATTATTCATTAAAATAGGAGCTCCGTAGAACATCCAGAGTCGACTGAGACTTAATTCAGGTTCATCGGCTGCAGCAACAGCCGAGCATGCAGCCATCGCGGCAAGGCTCCCGCACTCGATAAGTTCAAGTTCACGGGGCACACTTTGCTCGCAATTTTTCTCGCGCTCGTTATTAGGAGATCGGTGTCAATACACACACATACATACTCACAAAAGGCAAGGCACACACACAGAGAGTCAAGGCAGAGCCGGAAGACTGGCGGCCTTGCTCGCGCTTCAAGTTCATTACCATCGGCCTACACCGAAGCCACTCGTGCCGCTCGTATATATGTACGCTATTACATACACGGACTATATCTGCCGCCGCTTGCGGTAGTCGACTTTTATACACGTCATTGTTCGCGAATCCGAATGGATCGAGGCAAGTGAGAGGTTTCCGCCTCGTAATATACATTTATGGATTATATACTACTCGAGTTGGAGCTGCGCTGCATGTAAGCTCGACCCGCTGCAGCATAGCATCCTATGGTTCGGCCGCGATGTATCTCGATCCCACACACCTTTTCAGGTTGCTGTTGCGTGTGCCCCCTTCGCTCGTCGCGAGCTCCTCGTATGGAGCACTCGACTCGAGGAGCTTGTGTATAATGAAAATAATTTCGCACGACTTTTTACGCGTTGAATTACATAATTGCAAGTTCAGCGAACGGGCTATGACGCGCTGTCTCTCTCTCTCTCTTTCTGTATACTTTGAACACCCGCTCGGCAGAAATTGTTTCCGGTCCCGTGCTCGAGTGTGGCGCGCGCAAGATCGCGAGCGAGCGGCTTATTTGACACTGTGAGCTCGAGGATTCGTGCGATTTTTTTCTTCTCGAGCGATTCTCGAAATCAGTAGTCATCCTAATGTGTTTCGGCATATTGTTACACATATCCTATATATGTTATTCACGATAGATAAATCGCTCGAGCATTGGTTCGATCGATGCGCTAGCATATATTCAAGTGTAGCAGCAAAAGCAGCCGCGCAGGAACACGAACTCGATGCACTACTAGTGCAGCAGGGCCGTTATTCCGACCCCCCGTGAGTCGCGAGGGCCGTCTCTGTATATGCTCCAAGCTCGGGTCACATATTAGTCGATAAATCGTCATGGGAATAAAGAGGATCGATGAGAGATTGCTCGTCAAAGCCAGCCAAGAGATCGCTCGAACACGAGGCGCGCGTGCGCCGTACAAAAGTTTGCCGCTGCCATCCTCTTTATTTTCTACCTCATTTCGATTTACCACGTAACATCAATAAGGCAAATCGAATCCTCAGACAGGACCCCGCGTCGATCTTTGGTCCACACGAAATAAAAAATGTAAAAGGCAGCAGCAGCAGCTGCGTGCGCGAGAGCAAAGTTCGCCGGCGCAAGGTGCACAGCTCAAACGACCCAGATGCAGCTCGCCGACGACGATGACGAATAGGTCGTTCTCTCTCTCTCTTTTTAAGCGCGTTACAAGTTACAAGCTCGCGAGTCGCGCGCGCGATCGGTCAGTGACTTTTCAACTTTGCTGCAGAGAGGCCCGACGCGTATATGTATGTACGATATACGTCATGCGTGTACCGCGAGCGCAGTTACGCGTGCAGAGACATGTATGTACTTACGTGTACCGCACGCGTATACACACGCGTGCCAAGTGCACTTCAGGTGTACACCTTATACATGAGCATATATACAACTGACACACAGACTCGAGGCAGCCGTATGCTCTCCGCGCTGATTATTTTTACAGATTAAGCGCGTACTTGTATCTTACATGCGCTTATATTTATATCGTGCGTATATTATATACGATGCAGCACACGCGAGATGATTACGAATCCTTGCACTCTCTAATCGCGATTGCTTATTCTTTTTTTGTTTTTCTTTATAATTATCACAACCTCGCGTATCAGCTTTATCGAGGGACACCGGGAGAGTTGAACCTCGATGATCATTAATTGACCGTGTACATATCTATGTACGCGAGTTGTTGGTCGCGCGTAAATTTCGACGAGGCAGACATTCAACGGCAGCAGCAGATTCATTATGATCGATGAGTTATTACGCAGGTACATGATAAATAGTATATATACGCGAGTTGTTTCTTTGGGTAGCTGCGGGACGAGCCGGAGTAGTAGTACACATCGTTTGTCGCGAGATTGCTCAAACGAGTCATGATTCGTCGCAGCGATGATCGATCAAGCAGCCGAGGCAGAGAGATTGAGAGAGAGAGAGAGAAAACGCAATTACGCGCGAGAGGCGGCGGTGGCTGACAAAAAAATCTCGAAATTTATCGACGCGTCGAGAGCTAAGAGACTTCATAATCGCTCGTTCGATTCATTTGTATTATTTCCAGTGGCGATGCAATCGCATAATTAAGTCGGTGCGCGCGACAAGTCATCGCGCGCGCCAGAGAAAGAGAAAAAGAGTCGCGGCTAAGCGAGTGCGCATATTAATAGTCGACTTGGCTCGATTTGATGTTAATTGGCCGTAATACCAGCGGTGTAATATAAATACAAGACGCGGCGGCGGCGGCGACGACGACTGGACGACTGTCGGGCACTGCGAGACTCGCGTGCAAATAATCCGTCCGCGTCGCTCGCGAGTGTGTAACGCGGCTGCGATTCGCACCGAGCCACTCGACTATACTCGGCACATAACGCAGTACCTATGGCGCGCATTAAGGCGAATCGCGCGCAGATCGTTATAAGGTATTCCTCGCTCATCGCGCCGTTTAATAGAAATGCGAAATTTCCGCCTCTCTCGAGGCAACGGTGATTCTCTCTCTCTCTGTGCGCGTCTGTGCGCACTGCACTGCACTACGCTAGGCACATATCGAAGAAGCTTCGCTCGACGATTCGCGCGCTCGCGACTCCGTTTTCGTATGCAAACAGAAAAATATATAGGTAGCTGCTCCTAGGAAGCGCAGCAGCGCAGAGTAGTCGTCGTCGCCGTCCGTTCGACGACGACGCGTGTGAAGCATTTATATGTGCGCAGGCAGCGCAAATGCAAACGCGTCCGTCCGTCCGTCCGTCCGTTCGAGCAACTATAAATATATGTAACTTGGCAATTGGCAAGCTGTAACAGCTAAAAAAGTACGCCAATGTTGTAGCTTGGAAAAACTTCTCTTCGTTTATAAGAACGTGCATAGAGTGTAATTGAAGCGAATTCTCTCGAGTATACTGCATGCACGGGGCGCCGATCGTGCCTGGCCTATAGTTCAGCTGCACTGCTGCACACATGCATACTTGCGCGTTTCTCGACGAGAGAAACAGAGCCAGCGTAGATATACGTAGCTCGCGCAATTTTCACCGAGCTCCGTGGCGCGAGATCCAGCTATTACAGCTTATATTGTATACACACACACACACACAAACACACATACGCACGGGAGCCAATCTGCCTCGTAATGACCGCCACGAGCGAATCCTGGGCTCCTGTCCATATTATAATATTTGTGCAAGTGTGTGTGTATTGTATATAGCGCGATACTTGCACTGCAGCTCACATGCATGCGTGCGATGATATGCTGTTGCAGTCAGCTCTTGGAGCGAGTAGCAATCCAGATGAATACATAAATACCCATAATATATTTGCGCCCCGGCAAAATGGTTATTATTAGCTATCGGGGTATGTAATATACATATTTTATAATAGTCGGCCTTGGTGCGCAGTTGCAGTTTGCTACCAACTATACATCCACACAGCTTCATGCTGCTCCGCATACATATAGCTACGTACATGCTCGTGGCGCGATTCTCGCAAAGTTTGTTTACATTTAATATGCCACATTTATCGCGTCCGATTGCAGGTTTCGCTTACGTGTAGTTTGCATCGGTTCGAGCTTTCGTGTGGAAAATTGTCGGCTGCACGCGGCGAGCGATCGCAGCGAGATTTTCAGCGGGGCCTCAGTCTGTTGCAAACACACACAGTAGTAGTGTAGTCACTGCTACATGCGGTCAAAGGCAGTCGCCACGCAAGCGTACGTACATGTAGTTGCACTGCTTATACCACTAGCGGGATCGACAAAACAGAGCACAAAAGTCGAAAAGACAGAAATACATATACGTGCATATAATCTTTGCGCGCTCATCGAGTCGAGGCAAGGAAGAAGAAGGCAGCGAAAGAGAGGGAGAAAGAGCCGAGTTTTTCTCCCGTTTCCGCGAATGAGCCTCGCAGCGAGTTTTGCGAGTCGCGATCGTGTGTTTCCGGTGAAAAAATAGCCGCTCTCTCTCTCTCTCTCTCTTAGGCTCGAATCGCACAAGAAGCTGGAGCAAGGGGAGAAAAGAAGAGCAGCAGGTAGATAGGTAGGTAGGTAGGCTGGCTCTACTCTATATACAGCACATCTCGTTGACGATGCATATACACGTGCGATAGTATAAGTTCGTCTATATATGTACAAACGCGTACAGCACGCTCGCTCGTAGGTCTATATATAGCTAGGCAAAAAAAACAGCGAGACCTTGAAAATAAAGTAGAGAAGCAGAAGCAGCAGGAGCTGCTCGCTGCTGGGCGCTGCGATGAAGAGCCGCGGCCGGTACACCTGGCGATTTCCATGCGCTCTTCGCAGAATCGAGAAAAGGGCTTTAGTGATCTCCTTGCGAGAGAGAGTGAAAAGAGCGAGGGTACGTATGCGAATAGAAATGAAACGATCCGGTACGCGGGAGAGATGCGCCGAAGAAGAAGAAGAAGTCGAAGAAGCAAGAGGAACGGAAGAAAAAAAGGTGCGCAGCGAGAGAGCGCCGATCGTAAAGCAAAGCAGCGCGAGGTTCTGTCTTGTGCTTTGTATATTGCTCCTTATATCCTATACCTCTACGTGTGTGTGCGAGCTATTATGTATAGGTAGAAGAGCCAGAAATAAGCGCGAGAGCAGTGCAGTCGGCTATCCTCCGTACATATACAACTGCGCACGAGTAGGTACGTGTGTGTGTGTAATGCCAGTAAGAAGCTATATATGCTGCGCGAGGAGGAGTCCTGGGTCCTTGAACTTGTTCGAGCCAAACCGGCTTCAGCTGCTACTGATGCGCTGCTCCTGCTGCTGGCCACACGTAAACGGAAGCATTTTCGTGCTGCATCCAGCCGATCATATGCATTGCAACTTTGAACCAGTCATGAGCCAGCGCGAATGTACTTGTAATGCGAGAGCTCGAACTGTATAGTCTATATAGTGCCAAACGGGCCGCTCGCCGCGGCTTTGCGTGCGCACTTATCATTTTCACCAATACGGCCCATGCAGTAGCACTAAGCCTAGTAGCAGAAAACGCTGTTGTATACCTATACAATTATTATAAGCGCGATCGACTGCGAATATTGAGTTACTCGAGACTCGGCTTCCAGCACCTTCGCCTCGCCGATATATAGCCTACACACAACACACGAAAATTTTTCAACTCGAGTATTATATGTATATGCAGTGCAGCATGCAGGTAATCGCGTGCAGGCACACATTTACTCCCTCGCAGCTACAGCTACGGTGTGTATACTCGAGGGCATTAATCCAATCCCGGGCAGAGCAGCTGTAACTATGTAATGTACCAGAGGCAGAGCTTCTCTCTTTGCCTATTTAACGGTTCAGCAGTTGAGCGAGATTCGGCCTCGCACGCGCGGGACTAGCCGCAACACACACACGCCCATACGTGCAGGACTTTTTTCTCGAGACTCTCGAGACTGGCTGTCTTGTGCGCTGCTGCTAATAAGCTCGCGACGCAACTTGACCGCTACCTACGTACCTATATATCCGAACTTATGCACACGTGCGCATGATATATCCTTTTGAGCTGTATAACGTACGAGACAATTGTTTTTTATACTTTTTATTGCTCGTTTCCGCCGCGAAAATAATATTTTTGCATAACTATGCGAATATCAAGACTTGTGACCATAATTTGAACTTACCGGAATATGTGCTGCTGATAACGAGGAGAAGTACGACGGCCAGATACATGATTATCCCGGGTCGGCAGAGCCCGGTTCTTAGAGCCGACATTTCGCCACCTGTAAAACAAATACAACGATACATTATAACTCGTGCGCGCCGTTATTCATATATAATTTCAATAGTTCGTAAAATATCAATATATTTTCATTATAGCACTCGCAAGTAATTGTGCATGAAATGGGGAAAATTGTTACAAGTTGCCATGCGCCTCGTAGTCGGATGAATAATTACCTATTAATATGTATTTATGGACCGATATAGCGCGTGCATATATAAATACGCCCACGCGGACGATCGCGAGAGAGAAATTCCTCGAGGGCCGCGGCGCACGACCGATAAATCTCGGTAATCGCACACAGCCAGGCCCGCGCGAGATGCGCGCCAAACGTCGCGGGTCGCGGCTGACTGGATGCGTCGCGCGCCGCTCGCGCAGTGTGCAGTTATATCCACGAACGCAATGAATAATCATGCTCGCGCGAGCTAATGCCGCTTGACAAGTGGCCGCGTCGCTCGGTCGTGGATCGCACATGCGCGCATGTATTTATAAGAAAAGAGTAAACGAGCCTAAGCCGAAGCAGGCCGTTTTCTACCTACGGATCGGAGTCTGGAGTCCGAACTCGAGCGAGTATACGCACGAGACGGGCCGAGCCGACGAGTACGAGCCGGTGCATGCGCGTGGGCGACCGAGCTGCTACATAGACTTCTTATCTGCCTCGAGATAAGCCCAGGCCCCGTTAAAGGAGTATTCGGCAGTTGCTGCGTGTACCGATTGGCGAGCAACGTTTTATGTATAAGGAAAATCAACAACTAGTGCAAATGAAATAGCCAACTTGCCTTTTGCCAAAAGGTGTGCAGGCCTGCCGCGGCGCTGCCACGATGAAAATAGCTTCTAAACTGGCTGCGACTACGGAACGAGTGGCGAACACGACAGAGAGAGAGAGAGAGAGAGATAAACACGTCGAATGAATGTGTCTAAATGTGCCGCATAGAGCAAAGTCGGAGCACTGCAGCTACAATACTACAGTCACACTATACACTCGCGCGCACTCGACAATGAAAAAAGGAATTCTTTAGAGCTCTCGTGTGCGCGAGCGAGTCTGTACGCACATCGTCGGAGGCGCGAGCTGGCGCGGCTTTATGTTCGTCTGCGCTTGTACGCACGCGTGTAATCTCTCTCTCAAAGTCCTCGATATATACATATAAACACACGAGCCACACACATGTATGCAGACGCACCGGCACCGTATTATACAGTATGAGACTTTTGACGTCGACGGCCGGCCGAGTCGCACACAAAGTCGGCGCTGAAAAGGCGCTACAGTTATGTCAACGCGACCGAGACGCGACCAAGATGCGTGTATACCAAAGCCAATAGCCGTACGAAGACTTGGGAGCGATGCGCTCGCATCTCTTCGTATATAAATACGGCTCGGACGCGCGTCGAGAGCGATAAATCTTCGCAGCTGGCGGCAGACTTGAATACGTCGAAATTCCAAATTCGAAGGAGCCTCGCGTACGTACATGCATGTACAACACGTCATATAGAGAGAGAGAGATGGAGCTGGGAAAGACCGTTAAGCGGTGGCAAACTTGCTCGTTTTCTAATGCACGCCTGTATACAGTACGTAATAATGCGTGCTGTAGTTCGACGAGAGCCGCAACGTGCCCCGGAAATACGTGCCCCTGCCACCATTCCTATACTAGCTGCTGCAACTTTACGAGTGTCGCGAACTCTCCAACTGCAGCACGCGTATCTTTCGCTATTTCGTACGTATATACGGCTTATGAGATTGCGTGGGCTCCCGACGCCAAGTGCCCAACACACAGCCAACGGCAAGTGGCAAGTATAGTCTTTACGACGTATACCTACGACGAGAGCCTCGAGAGTTTCGAGTTCGACTTGCGGCGCTGCTGCTGTTCTCCCCCCAAGAGAGAGAGATGAGGATAATTTGTCACGTGCGAAAATCCACCTGCAGCGATACTCGCAGCTGATAATTGGCAATTAGAGGCATCTCCCTGCAAAAACGACGACTGCGATATTGTCGCGGCTCGGTAAACTTCCCGTGTAACGCGATCGTCGCGGCGCGTCCTGTACTGCGCAATTATTAAACAATATTTCAGCTCGGTTGCGCCTCGCGGAGGATCGCATCGAAGCTATAAATAACTGCACATAGCTTCAATTTCGACATTTTTTTCTCTTTGCTCCGATTTTGGCCTAGCGCAATTATCGGCTTCCTTCGAAATATACTCGATCGCATTCCTTTTTTATTACTTTTACAACAATTTCAAGAATAAAAAATTTCATCAAACACGAGGCTACGTTCGTTCGACGAGCTTTTGCTTTTAGCTGGTGGAGTTGAAAAATAAATTTCCTCAATGGGCTGAACGTAAAACGAGAACTACACTTGTGACGCACGATTTTGCTATTATAAAGCAAAGTGAGAAGCGCCTCGCGCAGCTGCTGGAGAGCTCCAGTGTCGGTATATATTATGTGCGTGTACGCGTCGAGCACGTGCTAAGAGATATGCAGACATTACATTATGAGTCTCATAGAGCTCTCATTGAAGCGCTTGAAAAAAAGAGCGCCACCTCGAAACGAGTCGTAACGATCACGCGCCCGCGTCTGTGGGAAATGGCCTCGCGCCGCAGTACATGCACTTGTCCCATTCTAGGCGTGTACGCGTTTAATGTATCCCGCGGCTCGTTATACTCTCTCTCTCTCTCTCTCCCCATCTCTCGATTTGGACCCAACAGAAAAAGCCATCGATTGGCCTAGTTTCCAATCGAATATAATAATATTATTTATATAAAGGCTCGTTTATGTCTCTTCTCTCTCTCTCTCTTTTACGTGTGCGAGTGCATCGCCGCGGCAATGACGACGACAAAGTACCGTTGGCACCTTGCGCGTTTGTTATTGTGCGAGTTGCTGCTGCTGCTGCTGCCACCGGTTTTATATATTATTAGATCCTTTGCCGACCAATTGAATTGGCCTTTTGGTACAGTGTGCAGTAGAGCCCCATATAGCTTAGGCACTCAACGACGCGGTAATTTTATGTACGAACGCGCTCGGCGAGCTGTTATGATTGATCTGGCGACAAGTTTGCGCGTGCCTCCAACGGTATAATAAAGCTATGCTCGGCTCAGGGGTAGTTGCAGTGCACTGCACCGAGCAAGCTTGTATCCGAGAAACTCGTTTCGAGTCCTTTTTTTTCTAGCTGCACACACAGATACGTATAGCTTATGGCAGGCAAGCAGGTTCGAGATAAAGTTTTTGAGTGCGTTTCGGGCAAAGAGTCGTTTGTAGCTCATCGACGCGCGGTGTGCAAGATGCGAAAAGCCCCGTTAAAGCTCGCCGAGTCAAAAAGTAAACAGAAAGATCGACAAAGAGATCATCGAGGCGGATCGGCGCTTCGAGTGCAAGCTACGCCGCGCGCTCGTTTCAATTTTCGTATCCGTAATCTGTTTGTTCTTCTTGTCGCGAGTCGACACGAGGAACAAGTGCTCGCGGCGCCGTATACACGCTGCGATAAGCGAAGCAACTTGTGTGTAAACTCGCGAGAAACGATGATTTTAAACACACTCAATGAGGGGAAATGCGCATGTACACGTAGAATATACACGAATAGGTGTGAACGCGCGCCATAGGAATATAGTCGATCTATCGGTCGATGCGCAACGTCACGTGAATTAGGAGAAAAAAATAAATCAGGCCTCGTCCGCCGCGTAGTAGTAGTTTTTATTTTAGCCATACGTGTAACTAACTACACGCGCGTCGCGATACATGTGGAGGATAGGTGAAATAGGTAGGTACGCGCATATAGTGTTGGGGTGCGGCTCATTCAACGGTTCGCTCGAGTTCCGGCATTTGTAGCTCTTCTCTCTCTCTCTTTCTCGCGTACACGCACATAGGCATACACCAAGCAACACTGGCTGCATAAATATAATATGTATACTCGCGGGCTATTACTACAATTGGCATTAAGTTAGAGCTTCGAAGCCAGCTCGAGTACGTATAAATGCGATATCCGAGTGTGCGAATGCGCTGCGGTTCAGCTGCTACTAACACACTGCACAGGCTAGGATGCAGCCAAGGCTCATAAGTGCGCTCTAAGTATATACCGTTGCCGCGGAGCCTAGCGAGAAATGCGCGACATTCGTGTAAGATAATTGACAGCGCGTGAGCGGCTGCTTGCGGAGAAACGAATGTCCGACGTCGCGGGCCGCCGCCGCCTGCATCGAGCGCTATTAAAGGGACACGGCATAGAGTAGGTAGGTACCTATATAAGTGCAGCGCTTTAATATATACACACGCGAATATAATATACACACGTTTTAGCTGGGTTTAGTGCTGCGCGCTAACGACGATCCGCGCGCCGGCCCAGAATTAACAGGGAGAAAAGAGAAAGACCATTTCTCTCTCTATCTTTTATATGCATTACGAGTCGCGGCCAAGTCCAGCTCTCGGTGCTATGATATTGGCTCGCGCTCCGAAGGATATATATTCAACCTTATAATAACGATGTGCATTATTTCACGCGAAGCTATAAGCGCAGTCATGTTGCGATCGAATTTCTCTCCATCTTTACGTTGTTGAATTATCGTACACACATTATAAGTAGTTGACTGTGGCGTCAGGTGTTTGTAAATTCTCGCGAGGCTCGAATAGCTACTACACGGTAGTAGTAGTGCCATAATTGTATCTCTCGCGGTTCAAGGGTCACGAGCTGCGCGCGTCAAGGGAAGAGAAGGAGGAGCGAACGGCCTTGCCCTTGCAAATGAGTTCTCGTCAGCAGCAGCAGCAGCTGCCATATGCAATAGCTGCGCCGAGCTTGTACGTATATAATACGATGCGAGTATACATATACAAGAAATTGCACATCAATTAACGTGCCTCGAGGCGGCTCCCTCGTATTACTCGGGTAATTCTCTCGAGTGAAAAAAAACAACAACAACGGCCTAACAACAAGACAATTGGTTTTTCATTCGATGGAGGCATGTTTTGCCATATACCATATCCTACGGGTGCGATGCTCGCCTATATGAGCTACGTTATATA